GAGAACCAGCCTCGCTCACCTAACCTAGATCAGTCCCGCCCACCCCTCCTGAGACGGCCCCGCCCACCCCACTGCCCCGCCCACCCCACCCCCTACAGGAGCCACTCCACAACTCCTCCTGAGACGGCCACGCCCACCACCTCACTGCCCCGCCCACCTCCTCCCACAAGAGCAGCCCCGCCCACCCCACCACCTACAGGAGCCACTCCACAAATCCTCCTGAGACGGCCACGCCCACCACCTCACTGCCCCGCCCACCTCCTCCCACAAGAGCAGCCCCGCCCACCCCACCACCTACAGGAGCCACTCCACAACTCCTCCTGAGACGGCCACGCCCACACGTCACTGCCCCGCCCACTTCTCCCCACAAAAGCAGCCCCGCCCACCCTCCTGAGACGGCCCCGCCCACCCCACCACCTAAGGAGCACTCCACAACTCCTCCTGAGACGGCCACGCCCACACGTCACTGCCCCGCCACTTCTCCCCACAAAAGCAGCCCCGCCCACCCCTCCTGAGACGGCCCCGCCCACCCCACCACCTAAGGAGCACTCCACAAATCCTCCTGAGACGGCCACGCCCACCACGTCACTGCCCCGCCCACTTCTCCCCACAAAAGCAGCCCCGCCCACCCCTCCTGAGACGGCCCGCCCACCCCACCACCTAAGGAGCCACTCCACAAATCCTCCGGAGACGGCCACGCCCACCACGTCACTGCCCCGCCCACTTCTCCCCACAAAAGCAGCCCCACCCACCCCTCCTGAGGGCGGGCTTCGCTCATCAACCCCAGAGAGGCCACGCCCACCTCCCCCTCCCAAGGGCGCCCCGCCCACTCCCCCTGAGAGCGGCCCCGCCCACCTCTTGAACAGTGGTCCAGTCTTCCAGATGTTGGTGTTGCCCACGCAGCCCCGCGGCGGGTCTGTGATGTTTTCCTTCTCCAGTAGCTCGTGCACTGCCTGGGCCACCACGCCCACGGCGTCGCTGATGTGGGCCGACTCATTCTTGCCATTGATGAGCTGCAGCCCGATGATGCCTGCGCAAGCCTGCGGCTTAGAGCCCGCGCAGGCCTCCCTCCCCCAGCGACCCCGCGGCCCAGCACTCACCGTCCGGGGCGTAGCGCAGAGCGTTCCCCGAGATCTCGCGCTCCCCCACCAGCCACACGTACCCCGAGCCCGTCATGTTCAGCATCGCGGCCGCGCGGTACACCGTAGCAGCGTCGTCCTCGCTGTGGGGCAGACGCGGGTGACGGGCCAGGACTCCCGGCCTCCCCTCCCGACTCCTCAGACAGTGCCTGCCCCCACCGCGGCCGGGTCTGGAGGAGCTTCTCAGGCCCCTGCTGCTGGCCAACTGCCTGGGCGGGCAGGGAGAGGGGTGGATGCCTGGCTTACTGGACGATGTCCTGACTGGCTCTGTGTTGGGTGACCCAGGATGGTGACGGGTATTGTGGATCACTTGCTCGGTAGGTACAAAGTACTGTTCTAGATCCTTTGCGTGGATTGTCCTACTTCTCACAACATTCCTGTGTGACTGTCCCTGTGTCAGGAGGGGTGTGGGGGGGAGAACCGAGGCACACGAGTGCTGGTAACGGCAGTCAAGTGTGTGCCTTGGACGGTCCCCCTCAGAGCCCATGAACCTGTGACCTCCCGGACAAGCCATCCATGTCTGGTCTCTATGTTTAAAGGTGTGAAATGATTGGTTGGGGGCTCTCTGGATTGCTGAGATGCTGATGGGCCCTGAGCATCCTGCAGAGGCTGCCAGGCAAAGGAAGGGCTGCTCTTACTTCTGGAAGCTATGTCTCTCTGCCACCCGGGGCCAGGGCCACCAGGAGGACAGAGCACAAACAAGCCTTACCTTGCAGGGACATATGGTCCTGAGTTCTTGGAGTGTCCTCACAGGTGATTACTGTGGACAGTGAAGTAGGGGACCCAGTCCCCTGGAACTGGATCTCTCTGGTCATGACAAGGACCCTGGGGGTACTGGGGTCACTAAGGGTCCATGACCTCCCCCACATACCTGTCAGATCCTTTCCTGCAGGGCCTGACCTGGCCTCAGATGGGCACAGATCATACCTGGCACTTTAATTGCCCAGTGCATGGTCAAACAGATTGCCTGAGTATTGTGTTTTTGTTTTTACAATGGCCAACTCTGGACACCAAGGTATCCCCAAACTCCCTCAGTGAGGAATTTTCTCAAGAATCGATTAGCCAACAAAGAAATGCAAACCCTCAGTGTTTGCTCTAAGTGACAATACTGTTTGTGATTGTAAGCCACGCAAAACACAGGTGCTCCAGGTAGTGCCCTGCAGTGACCTCTCAGTGACAGTATCTGACAGGGCGCAGTGCACCAAACCTGGCAAGGATGACCTGGAAGAACACAACACCATGTACCCTGAGGTGCAGCATGCCAGATGCCAGCTGTGGCCACCAAAACATGACAGAGAAGCCCATCTTCTTGACACAATTTAAATCTGTGACATACCACCTAGTGGAATGATTGTGATCAGTAAAACAGTTGTAGAGAAAAAGCCTGATCAATCCACCAAACCTCATCAGACCAGTTTATGGGAATAGCAATACCAATAAAGACAATTGGAAGAAAATAAAAATAAAAGGTTCAGAAACGAAGCCTATGAATTCTATAGAAAATTGATAAAAAATTAAGATTAGCTTAATGGGGTCTCTGCAAAACATTATCAACCTCTGTGAAGCAGTAAGCCAAACCAACATGTGACAAATGACAAGCTCAGTGACCAAGCCCTTGCCTAGCATGCAGAAGCTGTGGTTCTGCAGGGGGGTTATTTTGTTTGGTGGTACTGAGGTTTGAACTCAGGCCCTCACACTTGCTAGGCAGGTGCTCTACCACTTGAGCTCAGAACCTGCAGTTTTGTTTGTTTGGTTTTTGTTTTGGTGGTACTAGGGTTAGAACTCAGGGTCTACACCTTGAGCCATTCCATCAGTCCCTTTTTGTGATTTTTTTTTGAGATAGGGTCTTCTGAACTATTTGCCTGGGACTGGCTATGAACTGCAAACCTGATCTCTGCCTCTTTGAGTAGCTAGGATTACAGGAATGAGATACCAGGGTGCCCAATTACATGTTTTTTGTATATTCCTATGTTTTTTGCAGTACTGGGGTTTGAACTCAGTGCCTACATCTCAAGTCACTCCACCAGTCCTTTTGTGTGATGGCTTTTTTTTTTTTGAGATAGGGTCTCATGAACTGTTTGCCTGAGCTGGCTTCAAACCCCGATTCTCCTGATCTCTGCCTCCTGAGTAGCTAGGATTACAGGTGTGAGCCACTGGCACCCGGATTTGCAGGTTCTTTAAGTGGAAAAAAAAAAAAGATAGGTTGAAGTGTCAGGGTCAGGAAGGCTTGTGTCTTCTGCCTGGGGCTGGCCTCCCTGTATTGACAGGAGTGGGACTCTGGGCTTTCACTCCAAGGAAGCTAGTATGTGAGAGGAGGAGTCCCTTCCAGCTCTGACAAACCAGGGGCCTTGTACGGATTAATCAGGAAGGGTGTAGATGGGTGAGGTTAATAAGTGTGCTGTGTGTGTGTAATTTGTGTACGTGTGTGGAGTATGACATGATGTAATGCATCACATGTATATTGCATGAGTACATGTGTGCACACACATGTATGCATGTGTATGTACACATGAATGGGTACATGTGTGCACTGTGTGACTGTGCATGTGTGGTGTATATCTGCATGGGCAGGTGCCCATGTCTGTGGATACCTGTGTATCAGTGTCTGTGTTGTATATAGTGGTACACCTGCATGAGCCTGTGTTCTGTGTGCCTGTACCTGTGTATAAGTATGTGTGCACATTACATGTGTTGTGTATGGTGGCCACATATTTGTGCATGTGTACGGATGTGTGTGACATACCATACGTGCATGTGAGGCACATGTGTATGAGCGGTGTGAATGTGGAAAAAGCCTGTGTGTGTGCACATTTTTGCATGTACGGGTTTGTGCATGTGTGTACATATGAGCTCTGTACTCAGTGCATGGGTAGGTGGTGTGCACATGGATTTTGTACATGTTTGTGCATGTGTCTACCATGTCTCCTTCACACACCAGGCTAATCTTTCAGGTTAGCCTGGCCCAAAAGACCAAAAATCGTATGTTCTCCCTCATATGTGGACATTAGATCAAGGGCAAACACAACAAGGGGATTGGACTATGAGCACATGATAAAAGCGAGAGCAACAAGGGAGGGGTGAGGATAGGTAAGACACCTAAAAACTAGCTAGCATTTGTTGCCCTTAACGCAGAGAACTAAAGCAGATCCTTAAAAGCAACTGAGGCCAATAAGGAAAAGGGGAACAGGAACTAGAGAAAAGGTGAGATCAAAAAGAATTAACCTAGAAGGTAACACCCACGCACAGGAAATCAATGTGAGTCAATGCCCTGTATAGCTATCCTTATCTCAACCAGCAAAAACCCTTGTCCCTTCTATTATTGCTTATACTCTCTCTACAACAAAATTAGAAATAAGGGCAAAATAGTTTTCTGCTGGGTATTGGGGGGGGAGAGGGAGGGGGCGGAGTGGGTGGTAAGGGAGGGGGTGGGGGCAGGGGGGAGAAATGACCCAAGCCTTGTATGCACATATGAATAATAAAAGAAAAAGGAAAAAAAAATGGAATGTAATAGGAACAAATTAAGCATCTTCTGGCTTTTCTGTGTCAACTATACCACTGAGTATAAGCAACAGATGAGAAAAATCTCCTTCATAAATTTATTCCAACTAATACACGAAAATAAAATGATAAAAAAAACAAACAAAAAAAGAGCCAAGTGCGGCAAACTTGTCCTTTAACCCTAGGGTTTGTAAACACAGGGTAAGCCTCTTTCAACCTGTGTGCTAAGAGGGGAGATTCCCTGTGGCTGCAGTGAGAGGTCCAGAAGGGACCATGGGCCAGCAGGAAAACAGTGGAGATAGTATCCACTCCTCTGCTGGGACCTGGGTGTGATGGTTTCCATGGATTGGTTTTACATGTGCTCTCTGGTTTGTGTCCTGTTAGTCAACAGGTCTAGCTTGTTGTGAGACCTTGTCCATTTCCTTGTCCTTAAGGAACTTAAGGGTTCCTTAAGTTTCCCTGTTCCAGATGAAGGAGTCTTCTGCTTGAGAGCTAGCTGTCTGTCCATTTGCCCACTGCCTGACCATCTTTTATTGTTATTTTTTTAGTGGAACTGGGGTTCGAACTCAGGGCCTCATGCTTGCTAGGCAGTAGCTCTACTACTTGAGCCAGGCCCCCAGCCCAGATTGGTTATGTTTAAGACAGTGTCTCCCTTTATGCCTGGGCAGCCTGTACTGCGATCCTTCTGTCTGCGCTTCCCACTTAGCTGGGATGATAGGAGTACACCACTGTACCCAGCCATTGGTTGAGATGGTCTTGAGAACTTTTTGCCTCCTTGCTACCCTCTGCCTCCTGAGTAGCTAGGGTTACAGGGTTTTGTTTGTTTCAGGCAACACTAGAGTTTGAACTCAGGGCCTCATGCTTGCAAGGCAGGTGCTCTTACCACTTGAGCCACTCCACCCATACTTTTTTGTGATGGGTTTTTTGAGATTAGCAAACAATTTGCCTGGAGCTGGTTTTGAACTGCAATCCTCTGGATTTCTGCCTCATAAGTAACTAGGATTACAGGCTTAAGCCACTGCACTCCCTTCACATTGACCAAACCCTCCTCATACCCTATCATGAGAGGGAGACCTAAAGGAGTCTGAAAATAGGAAGGTCTGGTGGAGCTTGCCCTAGGCAGTACTTCTGGGTGGGGTGTCCTTGGGAGGAGTTTTCTGGGCACAGTGTTAATTCTCCAGAAGCCCCACGCAGCTCTCCCTGAAGTGCCCACAGTTGGATGGGCAGCAAAGGCAAGTGACCCATGACTGAGGTCTGGGCTTGCCACTGTAAAATGCCTGGTTCTGATTATCACTCGTTTACCCCAGCTCCTGGAGGAGCAGGTGAGACTATGGGCAGCACTCAGCACCAGCATCTGGTCTCCTGCACCAAGGCGTAGGGCAGTGGCCCCCAGTCCTGCCATCTGAGTGAAGGAGAGTCCTGCCTTCCAGCCTAAAGAGCCCTGGTTGACCCTACTCTTCAGTCTGTGGGCAGTGGGGTAGGTTGCATCTTGCTCTGTCAGAAGGTTTTTTGTGTATGTGTGTATGTGTGTGTGTGGTACTGGGGATTGAACTCAGGGCCTACACCTTAAGCCACTCCACTGGCCCATTTTTGTGATGGGTTTTATTCAAGATAGGGTCTCATGAACTATTTTATCCTAGCTGGCTTCAAACTGCAATCCTCCTGATCTCTGTCTCCTGAGTAGCTGGGATTACAGGCGTGAGCCACTAGCGACTGGCCTGTCAGAGGTTTTTTTTGACTGAATGTACAAACAGACACCTGTCTTGTGACTGAGCGCTGCTGTCACTTTACTGCCTTGTAGGGCAGCAGGGTTGGGGTGTGTTCCTCTGAGCCAGGTGACTTGTTCTTTTTCTACACTCTGTTGGAGCCCAGCAGAGCTTCTAGGTTGGAGCAGACAGTGGTTGTTGGAAAAATCAGGACCTCCCTGCTGTCTCTTGACAGGCTGCCACCCTACCCTTACCCGTGCTTCCTTTCCTTGTACCTTATGGCCTAGTCTTTCCCTTCCCAGGATAACCTAGACATTTGCAAATATTTTTTTACTGTGAGCTCTTGCCTGAGCTTGTGGTGTAGGAGCCATGGCCTGTGCAGGGACAGACTGTCCCTCACAGGTCCTTAATTGGTTTCTGCCAGGTGTTCTGATCCTTCAGTTGGTCTCGCCTTCAGGCTCACTTCCACACTGACATGCCACTTTGCCGAGCCCCTTCCCTGGTCTCAGACCTCTGTGTGTTTGCATATGTACGTGTCGTCGCGTCTCGGGCTTCCTAAGGGCAGGGTCTTCTCCATCTCCCAGGAAGGTATGCACAGACAGAGGGTTTAGAGTTGGGTGTGTGGGGATGAATGGGGTACAATGTTCATTGGTGAAGGTGTTTTACAAGCCGATGTGCACGTCATCCGATGGTGCCCCAGCCCTGGCCCAGATGGTGGGCTTGTGGCCCAGGCACAGCCAGGGTGATGTGGGGAAGGGCCCAGCTTGCCTCACCTGGCAGAGAGGATGATGACTCGGGCCTCCAGCTCCCGTGCCTCCATCAGCAGGGCCGTCACATTCTTGGTCCCCGGGTCGAACTGCAGCACCTTCTCAGCCTGCGGTGTGAGCGGAAGCATTAGCAGGTAGTTGAGGCAAGAGACATAGGTGCCTCAGTGGCGAGAGTGTGGCCGAAGCCGCTAGGAACCCCAAGGCAGCTTCGCTAGGGCTCCTGCAGCCTGTACTGTGCACCTGCCTTCCTCACTGCTCGCCAGACCTGGCCTCAGCTCCTGTCCTTCTTCGTCCTACCTGCTCTCCTGCACTCACTCTCTGCTTTCTTTCTGCTTCCTCTGGATCTCTTTCCATCTCCTTTCTGTTCTTGTTTTTGCACTGAGCATGCAAGCTGAAGTGGACCGAGACTCAGAAAGAGACGTGCAGCGGACAGGAAATACAAGAGTTTTGGAATGCAACTGGGAACGGAGATGGGACTGACTTTTCCAAAACCTTGGGAGATGCTCTCAACTCAGGCCTGATTCCTCAGGCCCCTGCAGGAATGGCCCAGACCCTGGGGTGACCAGGTGGGCAGGGCTTCCTCCCAGGGTTCCGCAAGGAAACCCTGGGGGTCCCGGAAATTTGCATGCACTTCCCAGAGAGCAGCGTCTCCTGCGGCTGTGCTTGCTTGGAGGACGCAGGCCAGGGTCGAGGCGGGTGGGCCTTGGGCACCCACGCCGCCAGCGCCTGCCCTCTCCTGCCTGCCTGCCGCCTGCCTCACAACCTGGCTCTCCTTACTGCTTTGGGCCTGCGGCTCGGCGCAGCGGGGCCAGACAGCGCCCCGTGGCCGAGGCGCCGCAGGCCGGGGCTCGCTAGTCGGTGGGTGGCGTGCACGACCATGCATATATACCTTGGGTCCGCGCTTGTTGTCATAGGACAGTTGGTCGAGGTTTTCATAGTTCCTTTTTTTACTCTGATGAATAATGTGCACAGAGAAAATATGCAGACACAGAAGAAGATTATAAACGGTTGAAAATGACGGCGCTAAAGCAATCACACCACCTCCTCCGCACGTCTGCAGACGGGCACGTACCTGGAGCTCGCAAACACCGAGGCCCGGGGCTGGGCTGGGGGCCGGGGTGGAGCTGAGGGATGAGGGGGCATGGGGACAGGGGCCACGGAGGCTCCCTGCCATAGAGCTATGCTTTTGGAAACGGTCACTCTGGGAGAAAGGGAGGCCCTGCCCGCGTCCACCCTTCAGGGTCCCACCTGCCACCCCCACCCCTGTCATGCACCTGCCGTGTGGCCCCAGCAGTACCCACCCCCACCACATCAGTCCTGAGGGGGGATGAGCAGCCCCAGGGGCCCTGTCCCAGTGTCCCTCCCACTCCCCCACCCCCTTATCCTCCCTCTCCTATCTGGCGGCTGGGATGTTCGCTTCTCACTAATGGTGTGCCCATGCCCACTGGGCACCCCTTTCACGTGTGCCTGAGAGTGAGCGTGACAGGAAGTGTGTGCATGTATGCGCGTGCAGGGGTGATGTGTGTCCATTGGGTGCATGGCATGCTAGTCTATGAAAGTCTGTGTGAGGCCGTGGGGTCTGAGCATGCGTGTGCATGGTGCATGTGTCCATGTGTCCATGTGTGTGTGAGCCTGTGGCACGAGTGAGGGTGACTGATGCACGGAGGACAACGCTCGTGCACGTCTGAGCATGTGAGCTCTTGCTGGGTTGTGCGGAGATGCGTGGTGTGGAGAGGTCTGACTCTTTTCAGGAGATGTGGTGTGCCACAGAAATGTCCAGGGAGTGACAGTGTGTGTACCTGTGACTGTGTGAGCAGGTGGTTAGGTGTGCAGGGTGAGACTGATGGCAGTCTGTGTGGCCATGGTGGGCACGCCAGAAGGGGAGGTGCCTGTCAGACACCGGGTGGGTGTTCTGTCTTAAGAGGGGTGGAACCCTCGGCGCTCATAGCCAGACCCCCCCTCCCAGACTCAGTGGAACCCTCCCCATGACGGGACTCCCCCAGGACCCTTTGGGTCTAGGTCTGGTCTCATTTTTCCCCCACCCATGCCCTCTACTCCCTGCAAGGACCTATTGGCACCTTGGTGGCGGGGGGGGGGGTCCAGGGTTGGCACTAAGTGTGATGAAGCCAGCTCTGACTTCACAGGCAGTACATGCTCCCTGCTCCACCCTCCCCTCCGTGTGGTCTTTTGGGTCCCTCCCCAGCCTGGGCCTCCTCTCTCTCTGCTAACTGGGAAGTGTGGCCTGGTCCTGGGTGCCCAGGGCCCTGGGACTGGGTGGAGGTGTCCCTGGGTGAGCCTTTCCTCAGGCTGACCATGAGGGTGGGCAAGGAAGGGCACAGGGGTCACTTGGACCCCTAGAAATCCTGGTTTTGATCTCTGGCATCCCAAGAGGGGACCAGGTTGGGCTGGGGTGTCAGTGTGCCCTAGAATGAGGGTCTCAGTGATCCCATGAGGTGGGAGGGAAGAGAGGAAGGGCAGGGGCACAGCAGGGGAAGGGGAGCCAGGTTGGGGGTGGGAGTTGCTGCCCAAGAATGTGGCTTCAGTGAGGGCCACAGGCAGCTGTGAGGTGGGGGGCTTTCAGGGAGGCAAGGCCCCTGTGAGGATGGAACAAGCCCTAGTAGTGAGGGGACCCAGTCCTTTGGTAGCCAGTGCACTGAGGAGGATGCCACAGGCAGCCAGCTAGGTACTGGGCAGGGGAGGGGCTGTGCAGTGCCTGAGTTCTGAGTCTGGTCGGGGCCTCTACTGACTTGGCTGGGATATAAGAGGGCCTGTGGGGCTTGCAGGATGGGACAGGGGTGTTTGCAGAGCTCCAGGTGGTCCGGCCCTCGCCCCGCAGGGACTGACACGAAGGAGATTTGGACTAATGGCAAAAGCAAGTGAAATGAGCCGAGGACAGGCCGGGGCGGGCGCCGCCAGACGCTGTGGAGCTGAGCATGCAGGATGGAGAGAGAGGTGTTCACAAGGAGCCACAAACATGGCGCGGCCCGCCTGCTCCTGCTCACTGAGGCACCCCACCCGCAGTCAGGGCCTCACCTTGGACTCTCGCTCCTCCAGCAGCGTCTCCAGGCGCTTCTGTGCTGCCCGGCCCTCATGGTCATCGCTGACCAGCAGAATAATGTGATTCCAACTGTAGACACGCATCATCTCAAACCAGACGCTTGACTGGTGGGAGTAGGGCGGCACGGTGCGCAGGAAGCTCAGATGGATACTCTGCAGGTGCAGCCAGGGTCGGTCAGCTTCCACCCCTCACACCACTGGGGGACACTTAGCTGGCCTGGGGCCCCACTCCCTCCCATCACTCCTGCCGCCATTGGCCTCTCCTCCCTCATCTCCCACGTCATCCAGTCTGAGAAATGGAGAATGAGCATTTGCCCAGCAGCCTGCTGATAGGGACAGCCAGTCTCTGTGCAGTTGTTCCTGGGGTGAGCTCTCTACCTCCCTGGAAGCCCACCCATTGCTGGACAACTGGAGCTCAGAAAGGTCTTACTGACCCAGGCATCTCCAAGACCCTAATGGGTCTGCATATGGAGTCTGCCCTTCCTTAGCAAGAGGAAGGCCCTGGGCTCAATTCCCAGGACTACAAAAACCCAAACTGTATTTCCTAGGAAGTGGTCACTCTCAGGCCCAAATATTCATCTCTGCATGGGAGTCCAGAAGCCTCTTGCTTGCTAATTGCCTTACTGCTCAGTGAACATTAGCTGCCAGGGGCTCTCTGTGTCTATCCAGGTGAGCACTGGTTCCTTTGGTGTCCTTGTGACTCGCACTCATCTTGTGCTCCACAGGTTAACCAGGCTTCCAGGTTAGTTTTTCCCCAGTTCCCTCTTGGTGGCCTTGGAGTATAAGATGTTCCCTGACCTTGCAGTATGGCTGCAGGCAGGTTTTAGTTGGGGTCTTAGATCTGCTTTGACAAGGCCTTGCTGTCTTATGTGTTGACACAGAGTTGGCTGGCTGGGAATACTAGGGACCAGGGTGTGTTTGTGAGGTTTGACTCTGCTTTTGGCCTTGTGCAGGCCTGAGTAGTTGGAGGTGATGAGCATCTGGGCTGGCCCTGCTCTGCGGGGTGCCCTCCTGGCTTCTCATTTGCTTCTGACTGCTTTCCTCACAGGGTTATTTTTCTCTCCTCTATATGCGAGGACACTGGTGAAGGAGGTGAAAAAAGCAGTGCCTAGAGGCACTAGAATGCGAGCCCTGTTTCTCCCAGACAGGGTGAAATCACTGGGAGGCATAGTTTGGGCACCTGGGTGTGCTTTAAGTACATCAGGAGGGATAGCTAGTACAGCCTCATCTTGGTCCCCTCCCTCTGGTCCAGGGAGCCTGGCCTCCTTTTCCTGTCACCTAAGGGAAAACTGTCCATCCTTTCAGACTTGCTTGGGCCAGTCTTGGTTGGCCTCCCTATCTTTCTTTCTTTCTTTTTCTTTGGCAGTAGTGGGGTTTGAACTCAGGGCGTCATACTTGGTAGGTAGACATTCTACCACTTGAGACACTCCATAAGCCCCTGTTCTGTGTTGGTTTTTTTGTTTTGTTTTGTTTTTTGAGATAGGGTCTTGTGAACTATTTGCCTGGGCTGGCTTTGAACTGCGATCCTCCTGATCACTGCCTCCTGTAGCTAGGATTACAGGCATGAGCGACAGGTGCCTGACTTGGCCTCCCTGTCTTAGGGCAGCATTTCTAGGACTGTGGGTTCTGGGCAGGAGGAGTTTGGAGAAGATGAAAAGACTTAGAATATCTAGCTGCACGGAGCCTGGTTTTCCAGCTCAGCTCAGGCACCAGTTGGACCACTCCAGACAAGTGGTCCCCTGCTGTCTGCAGGTTCCCTGGGCCTATGGGGATATGGGGAGCAGGCTATGGTGGCTAGTTAAGGACTGTGTGACCTAGGGCAAGTCCTCATGCCTCTCTGGACTACAGTTTCCTGAAAAACTGGCTCAGCAACCTCTCTGCTTTTCCAGCTGCTGTGCCTGGACTGGAAGGAGACCCATCTCAGGCTGTGGGCCACAGGGTTCTGCTGAATGCTGAGCCAAGACACCCTCAGCCCCTGAAACATACCATAAGCTGCCCCCTCTGTCTACCCTGTATACCACTTCCATGTGTGCCCTGCAGTGGGGGAGGCTGGGGACCACAGCCTTCCTTGTCATCTTGAGTTCCCCTTTCCCATCCAGTTACCTCCTCCTCCTACAGCCCCCTTCTCCAGTTCTCCCGATGCTTCCTCCAAAGTCTGCCTGTCCAGGAAGCCTCCTGACCCACCCATTCTTCCAGCTCATAGGGTCATTTCCTTCCCCAAGGGGGTGTTACTGGTACCTGTCACCTATCAGCAGGTCATCGGCCTGTATGGGTGTGACTGTGTGGGTGTGTCACTAGGCCAGCGTTTTGTGAAGGTGTCTGTGAGTGTGAGTGCATGGGTGTGTGATGGGACTTGAGTGTGCTTGTGAAAGTGTGAATGTGTGTGTATGTAAGCATGTGAACACGCATGTGACTGTGAGTTGACATGTTAGTGCATATGGATATGTACTGCAAGCTTGTGGGAAAGCATGCATGTGCATGACTGTAGGTGACTTGTGTGCAAGTGTCTGAGACTGAGTATGTGGTGTGTGTGTTCTCTCCCATATCACTCAGTGCTTGGACTGACAGGCCTGGTCAGCTGCCTATGGCCCTGGGCTCTCTGGGACTGATCTTGGTCACAGAGTTGCCTGCATCCCAGTCTGGTGGTCAGACTTACCTTGTCTGAGTAGATGGACATCCGGGTGGTCAGTCCCAGAACAGGGATGCGGTAGAAGCCGGCTGTGTAGGAGACGGGGGTGGGAGTGAAGTGGTCGTTGGGGGTAGGTGGATGGCTAACTAGGATGGCATAGACCTGTGGACACAGGAGACAGGGTCAGCTTTATGGAAGTGACTGGGCACTGCACCGGAGCCCATGTCTCAGAAGCAGCAGGGGCTGGAGCCAGAAGGCGGGGGTCCAGGTGTGCTATTTGTGTGCACAGACCCCCCCAGACCCCCACAAGGCAGGATAAGAGCCTTGTCACTGTTCTCTGATGGTAAACTCATGGTAGAGACAGAGCAGTGGCAAAGCAAGACTCCAGGATGGAAACAAAACACATGGGAGTTGCTGGATCCTGGCCAGACTCTCCTCATATGGCTACCCTGAGACCTTACAGGAGAGTGGAGGCCTGTCCCTGTGTCTTCCCTGGGCCGTGCACCTGCCCCTACCCTGGCATGGGAGACTCACTGGGTAGGATGGGGAGAATGGCTGATCCTGTTCATCCTGATGCTGACCACCTGCCATCTACTGTCCCTCTGTCTGGGTCATGGGTAGGTGGAGGCCAGGGCCTAGACACAAGGCAGTAGCCAGGTCTACATGAGCTTTAGGGGAATTTTAGCCAGGAGCTTCCACAGAAACCTTTAGCCCTCTTTGCCAGGTGTCCCAGGGGCTGGGCACAAGAAAGCACAAAATAAGGCCTAGTCCTGATTTTGAGTGCTGACCTCAACCTCAAAGGCAGACCCGAGGCAAGTGTCTCAGCTCCCTGAAGTAGGATCCTTTCTCTCTCTCTCTCTCTCTCTCTCTCTCTGTCTCCCTCTCCTCTCTCTTTCTCCCTTTCTCCCCTTCCCAAGGCAGAGAGGCAGAAAGAAAGAACAGTGTGGGGGGGTCGACACCACCTTCATCTTCCCCAACTCTGTCTTCGCCTCTAGACCCAGAGGTCCCTCCAGCTTCTGTGAATGAGGGCTGGGTGCAGTGTGCTAGCTTGTGTCCTGTGAGTGACGGCTGCTTAACATTCCAGGCATTGGCTGCTCAGAGGGCCCACGCCCACAGACAGGCACTCTGTGGGCTCCCCCACCTACCCATCCACCTCCAGAACACATTACAGAAGCACCTGGCCGCAGATGCCTCATACAGGGCCATTGTGGACTGGAGCACAGGGGGTGACTTGTGAAGTGAGGAAGGGGGACTTCTAAGCTAAAAACTCTGACATGGCCTCTGTCTTCAGGGCTGTTTGGACTTGTTCTCCCTCACCTGGCTTTCAGACCTCCAGTCTGTATCCAGAGGTGCTGGCAAAGAGCCAGCTATAAGTCAGTGTTTGCATGAGCGTATATGTATATGACTACAGGTGTTCATGAGACTGTGCTTGGGTAGGTATGTATTATATGCCCTGACATATGTATATTTGGATATGTGTATATGCATGACTGAATCTGCTTGTAAGCACACGTGTTTGTATGTGCACCTGCGTATCCAAGCAGTGTGTCCGTGCATGTGTAGGTGTGTGAATAAGCATGTGCAATTGACTGTGCAATGTTGAGGTGCACAGGTGGTGCTAGTGTCATGTTCGTATGTGTGCATGTGAGCATGCATGTCCATGGATGTGGCATGTCTGTCAGGGGAGCGTTGTGAGCAGCCCCTTGCCCAGTGTCTTCCTGCCTATTACATAAAGGGCTGCATTGCAGTGATACTCCTGGCTTCATTGGAATTCAACAAGCAGCTCGGCCCAGGGGCGGGCAGCTCCTACAGGCAGCATCTCAGCACTGAGCCATGTCCTCCCCCACAGCACTGGCTGCTGATGGCTCCCATGCTGCGCCCTGCTGCCTCTCACACATGCAGTCCCTGCTTCCATACCCACAAAATCCCCTGCTTCTACACTTGGGTCTTGGCAGGCCCCGGGGAGTCGGGGGGAAGGGAAAGAGAATTTAGAAGCAGAAACAAAGATGGCCCCAGTCCCCATTCTGATGAGAGCCTGCAGTGCTCCTCTGCCCTACGCCCCAAATGCCCAGCTCCACACTGACAGGATGGAACAAACCATCCAAGCCTGGTCACATGTCTGTATGCATTCATTAGGGCCTGGAGCCCCAGAGATCTTCTGAAGACCAGCCAAGGTGGCAGGTCCTCACCCAAGGAGGCTACGATGGGTGAACTAGCAGACACCAGGCCTCTTCCAAAGGAGCGAGCTGGCTTGGGGGTGGTCTGCTAAGGCAGTGGCAGAGAGGGCGGAATGAAACTGGGACAGTGGGGTGGGTGGCAAGAGGAGCAGAGGGAGAGGGGAGGAGACGGGCACCTGGCTGGAGATGAGGTCCTCGCACACCGACAGGGCCATCTGGATGGCATTGGGCTTGTGGGTGACGGAGGTGGCATTGAGCTGGATCTTCCAGGAGCCGTGTCGTTTGTTGGCTTGGTTCACGGCCTCGCGGAACATCTGCTCGTGCTTGCGGGTGCTCAGCACGGCACCGATGTTGACGATCTTGGGGTCGCAGGCGGCGCGGGCGAAGGAGCAGGAGAAAAGCAGGGCGAGTGTCAGCAGGCGCATGGTGCTCATGGGCTCCGGCCGTGGCTGGCCTGGTTCCGGGCAGCGCGAGCGCAGCGCCTTAGGTGCATGCCCCGCGGGGCGCCCCTGCCGTCCTGCGCCCCCCGGGCCCCGCGGGCTGGGGGCGGCCGGTCCTCCCCGGAGCCGGAGCCGAGGGCCGGCGGAGCGTCCCGGCGTGCGCGGGGAGAGCTGTCCGCGGTGCTGAAGCGGGTCCCGGCGAGGCCCCGAGCGCCCACGCGGAGAGGACTCGGCGGCTGCGCGACCCGATCCCGACGCTGCGGCGACTGCGGCAGCTGCGGAGTCGCGAGCGGGACCGACGCGTCCGACCGGTCCCACCGCCCCCGCTTCCGACACCGAGCGGGAGGGGGGCGCCTCCCGCGCCGGAGCGCGCGCCGGCGTTCCCGCGCGTGTGTGTGCGCGCGTGTGCGTGAAGAGGGACCAGCGACAGTGACCTGTGCTGTCTCGGACCTGCAAGGGCTGATTGGCGGACTCTGTCAGCGCCTTCGCCTGCACTCTTGCGTGTCTTTCAACGTGTCACAGGCGGGACACACTGACCCCGTGTGTCGTGCCTGCTTGTGGGTGCGCGCGTGCACGAGTCTTCATCCACAGTCACTGATATTTCGAGACCTGGCTCCTCCAGGAAGGAAACCCAGGGGAGGGTCTCCATGCCTCTGGGGGAGAAGTGCTGGAGCTCCCTTCCCCACAAGGCTCAAAAACGTGGGAAGATCCCATCTTCTTGGCCATGTGACTTGGGCTCCCCCCTGGAGGTTAAGAATAGAAGGGGTAACAGGGGCTTGTCCCACTGCGGAGCCAGACCTTCCAGGAGAGTCTGGGGGCCTGAGGTCAAACTGCCTATGGAAAGACCAAAGCTAGTGGGAGCTGTCTGCGATGGCTGAGACTAAGTGAGACTAAGGCAGCACAGGGGGCTCCAGCAGGGCATGTCTGGGTTAGACATTTCATATCCCCTGGTTCCTCCTTGGCCCTTCTTCAGCTCCTCTTCCAAGGCTTGCTCCAAGGCTCCCTCCCACCTGCCTCTCCCCAGAGCCTCCCTTGTCCTTCTGGTCCTAGCGATCCTAATTCTTTGTCATCACTCCAGCCCTGGAGTGTGCTTCCCCTCCCAAACTCAAAGGATAGCCAAAGCTCCACCCCCTGCCAATGACATCACTATTTCCAATAGCAACCAAGGATTCTGCAGACTCAGTTGCAAAAGCACCCAAGGGGGACAAAGCAGGGTGGTCTTCACACCAAAGTGCTCTCCTGAGCACTGCAATGGAGTGAGCCTATCAGGGTCACACTCTCTACCACCCCTGCCACTGTCACTTCTCTGAAGTCAAGGGGAGGGGCCAGGACTGTGGCATTTGTCAAGCTCCATGTTTTGACCTTTTCTTTCTCAATGCAGAGGGAATTGTTACCTGGGGGCTCATGTGCCTGCACCCTGCTTCAGACCCCAGCCCCTCTCTGCTCTGGGTTCAGGAACACAGTAGAAAAAATGGCAGCCCTGGGACCCTGCAACTCTGACAGTCCTTAGGCAGGCATGGAGGGTGTGTGTGGTGGGGGGACTGCTCAGAGCCCCAGAGCCATCTGTTCCGTGGCCCATCTCCAACTTTCTGTGGTTCTGGCAGGTTACTGCCTGAAGGCTGGGTGGGGGGTTGGGGGAAAGAGAGAGAAGGGCCTGGGCACTGATAGTTCCAGGGCAGGGCAGGGAGAAAGGAACACTGTAGGACTCACCCATCCACCCCATTCCCCCACTGGGGTGCTGGTCCTGGAGAGTCAATTTTTAAGTATTCAGAAGTCTGTTACACAGCTGGAAATCTGTAATTGGCCATGGTGGGGTTATTTATACTACTGAAGACATAATTTCTGAAATAGCTGGGCTTTTGTTTTCTGTTTTCCCCTTCAGGGAGCCAGTTTGACAGCACAGGACTGCCTCTCCCAAGCTGTGGATCCTCAAGCTTTTGTTCCAAGCACCTGTGACAGGTTCTTGATGATGAGGGGCAGGGATATGTTGGGTGTCCCAGGCCTTCCCCCAGTCTACCTTAGCATCATTCAGGTGGAATCTGCTCTTTGTTTTTCCCTGGGGGCTTTGTCCACCACCCCCATCATGGCGAGTTTGTAGCCATAGGAGGCCTTGACCTTGCTTTGTCTTGCTGCTATGGCAGATGAATTTGCCTTGTCTGAGATCCTGTTGAGTTCTGGGGAGACAAAAGCTGTGAGCAAAACCAAAGAGATCTAGAGCTGCCTCTGGGGTGGGACTTGGTGAACAGTCAGGCTCCTGATAGAGAGGTAGGTCCTATTCTGCCTCAGGCCATGGTGGGATGGTCCACTTCCGCTGAGATATGTGGGGAGAGGACTCAGTGCTTGTGGTCCTGTCCACACCCCACCTCTCCTCTGACAACTGAAGCCCCATCTGAAGGGGCCCCTCTCCTACCTCAAACTCCTGGTTCTACTAAGGACTGTCAAGTCATAAACACAGCCCCTTCATGGCCTCAATCCATTGGCCAAGGGTTGACCCAAGTCAGCCCATGGGGGTTCTTCCCTGATTTTTTGGCCAGATTAGAAGATGGAACCGGAACTCAACACTACATCCCCTCTGGAGGTGAATCCCTGAGAACTGGGACTCAAGATCCACTTATGGATACATTTTCACCAATAGGAAGCCAGTTGGAGAGGAGGAAGTTGAAAGTCCAGAAAGAGGTGAAAGGTAGGAGCCATGTTCAGATACACTTGCCCCGTTGACCGAATGAGCAGAGGACAGACTTTTATCCAGTGTACAACTGCTGGCAGCGGGGCGGGGTAGGGGCTGCCTTTGCATTGGTACTAGGGAAATGGGTCTGGCTGTCAACAGACCTGGTCACTGGGTAAAAAAGTGGACTGGGGTCAATGCATCTGTGCCTGATCTGGGGGAGCAGCGGACCTTCATAGAGAGCAGCTGGACACCAGCAAGGTGTCCTTGCTTTCCCCATATCGATTCCTGCTCCCACACCCTTGTCTACATTCTTCTAATGCCTGCCTCCACCTCAAGTCCTTTTCTATTCCTGCCTCTCTGACTTTCCAAATTCCACCTGTCCTGGAAAGCCATCCTCCCAATATCACAAGGTCCCCACAAGCCCCCTGTGGGTGATTCTGCACTTACCTAATTTATTCAACACTTAACTGAGTACTTGCTATGTGCTGGACTCTTCTAAGTGCTGGATATACAGTGAATAAGACTCCAGACTTCATGGAGCCAAGTACTTCAGACCATTTCACACAGTGTTACCTTCTCTGGAGAAGCAGAAAGATGAATAGGGGACAGAATAAGCAGAACACTGAAAATGGGTGGTGGTTTTATCATGTGTTTCTAATTTCTTTGGCATATTACCCCCTTCATAAAATGGAGCCTACTTCTTGAATGTGGGCTGGACGCCATGACTCCCTGCCCCCCCCCCAGCATACTGGGTGTGGACTCAGGGTTCAAGTGCTCCATCACTTGGGCCACATCCCCAGTCCTTTTTGCTTTAGTTTGTTTTTTCAGATAGGTTTTGTGCTTTTCCCCAGGCTGGCCTTGAACCTCGATCCTCCCACCTCCACCTCCAGAGTAGTTGGGACCCAGGCAAGCACCACCATGCCCAGCTTGCTTTTGAAATAGGGTCTTGCTAACTTTTGCCTCAGCTCGCCACAAACTGGGATCCTTTTCTCCACCTCACAAGTAGCTAGGATTACAGGCCTGAACTGCCACGCCCAGCCCTATGACTCACTTCTATCAAACAGAATGTGGCAGAATTCATTCTCTCTGACCTCTGAGGTGAAGTAGAAAGAGGACACTTGCCCTGGGAATGCCAGTCACCTGCTGTATTGTGAGAGACCAATGTGGGGAGGGACTTAAGGCCAATGGCCAGCACCAACTCACCAGCCACGGAAGGGACCACACCGAAGCTGTAGAGATGCTCCAGCCTGGTGGAGCCTTCAGGTCCTGACTGAACCCATGAAACACTGAGCCTGAAAATACTGTCAGGGTACTCCAAAATTCCTGACCCCTAGAAACTGTGAGGTACTATTTATTGTTTTAAGCACTTGGTGTTGGGGTAATTTGTTATATAGCAACAGACAAACTCCTCTAGAAGATACTTGAGAAAATGTCTGAATGAAATGAGGAAGCAAGTCATGCAAATATCTGAGGAAAGAACAGGGAAAAGTAACGGTTGGTAAAAAGCCCTGGAGTGGGAGAGAGTGGGAGGAAGACAGTCAGCGGGGAGACTAGTTGTTGTAGGGCTGATCCTGTGGGATTTTGTAGGCCATGAGTGAGATGGTGAGCTGTTGTAGGGCTTAGACTAGGGGTGACATGAGTCAGTGACTATTTTATAAGGATCACCTGGCCTCTGTGTGAAGAACAGTTCAACAGAGCAAGGAAGGAAGCAGGTGATCACCCAGTAAGCTACTGGGCTAACCTGTGTGCCAGGCTGTCCAGAAACAAGGGGACAGATGTGCAGGTGACGGGACATGGGATTTGAGGATGAGGGTCCAGAATAACTCCAAAATTCATGGCCTGAGCACTAGCACTGTGGGTTGAGGGCTTTCGAGGTAGGAACCAAGATTTTCATTTTCTTATAAAGCTCCCACTGAACACCAATAGAGACCTCACAAATTTTGCTGAATGTTTTTATTCTCATGCAATTAGAACCATTTTCTAAATTTCTTTGATATATGGGTTATTGGGAAGTGTTCATATATTTGGAGATTTTTCAGATGTTTCTGCTATTGATTTCTTTTTACTTTTTGTTACATATTAACTTGTACGTAGCAAGAAGTTTCATCACACCTCCATACATGCATGTATTCTGATCATATTCACCCTCTGCTATCCATATGTATTTTAATTTTAATATGGTCTGAGAATGTGTTTTGCATGACTTTAAATATACTGAGATTTGTTTTGTGGTCTAGGATGTGTTTTTTCATTGGTTAATGTTCTAGGTGCACTGGAGAAATTGTGTCTTCCACTATTGTTGGGACAGGATTCTTTATATATTCTGCATAAAAGTATTTTATCAAATACATGTTCTGCAAATATTTTCTGGCTCTGATTTGTCTTTTCACTTTTTAGCATTGTCTGTGAAATGCAAAAGTCTTAAATTTTGATGAAATCTGTTTTTTGTTTTTTTTTGTGTGGAAGTAGGGTTTGAACTAACGTGTTCTTGCTTACAAAGCAGGTGCTCCACTCACTTGAGCCATGCTTCCACTCCATTTTGCTCTGGTTATTTTGGAGCTGGGGTCTCTCTCAAACTGTTTGACTTGGCTGGCCTCGAATTGTGATACTCCTGATCTCAGCTTTCCAAGTGGCTAGGATTACAGGTGTGAGCCACCTCACCTGAACTGTTTGCTATTTTATAGAGAATTTTTGTACTTATATTAATGGAGGATACAAGCCTGAAGTTTTCTTGTGGCATCTATGTCTGGCTTATCAAGTTAGTACTTGTCTCATGGAATGAGGGAGAAGCATTCCCTTCTATTGTTTGGAAGTTTGTAAGGATTGGTGTTAATTTTAGGTTTGGTAGAATTTAGGTCTCAACTCCTCTCCCCAAATTTTTTTTAACTATGTAGACCAAGCTGGCCTGGAACTCTCAATCCTGCTGCCTCTGCCTTTAGTGCTGGGATTCAAGTATGTACTAACACAGGGGGTCAGAACCTTCAAATTTTAAATTACTAACTCAACTTTCTTATATGTATTTTCATATTTTCTATTTCTTCTCTTCATTTTTGGGGGCAGCACTGGGGTTTGAACTTAGGGGCTACACCTTGAGTCACTCTACCAGTCCTTTTTTGTGATGGTTTTTACTGATCGGGTCTCTTGAACTGTTTGCCTGGGCTGGCTTCATAACACGATCCTCCTGATCTCTGCCTCCTGAGTAGCTAGGATTACAGATGTGAGCCCCCGTGCCTGGCCCTACTTTCTCAATGCAGGAATATTTAAGGATCTCTAGTCTTTTCTAGCATGGAAGTTGATAGTTATGAATTTCCACCTAAGCACTGTACTGGCTGCATCCTATAAAGTTTCATGTATTTATTTTCATTTTTCATTCAGCACATATTTTCAATTTTGATCTCTAGCTTATTTAGATGAATTCTGCAAATATTTATGCATCTCTCAAGTCTTCTTTTTATTTCTAGTTTAACTCCACTGTGGCTAAAAAATACATTGCATGATTTAAATACTTTTACATTTATTTAGTTTTGTTTTAGGGCCTAGCGTATGGCCTATGCTGAATGTTCTGTGCACTTGAAAAGAATGCATTACCTGCTGGGTAGTGTCCTTGGATTCCGACAGGCTAGTTGGTTGCTAGCACCAGCCAATCCTTGTTGATCTTTGCTTAGCTTTTCTATATATTACTGAAATTGTGATTTAAATATTTTTTGAATGTCTATTTCTTGTTTCTCCCAGTGCCAGATTGAATTGTCTGTTTCTTACTTCAATTCTGCAAGGTTTTAGCTGGGCACTGGTGGCTCATGCTTACAATCCTAGCTACTCAGGAGGCAGAGATCAGGAAGATCAAGGTTCAGAGCCAGCCAAGGCAAACAGACCCTATCTTGAAAAAACCAATACAAAAAATAGGGGTGATGGAGTGGCTCAAGGTATAAGCCTGAGTTCAAACCCAAAATTTGCAAGGTTCTAATGAGAACCACAGATATAACTGTGTATATAATTTTATCCTTTTGATGGTTGTTGGTGCTAGGGATTGCATTTAGGGCCTTTCACCTGCTAGCAGGCACACTACCACTTAAGCCACACCTTCAGCCCTTTTTACTTTATTTTTTAGGATAAGGTCTTGCTTTTTGCCTAGGTCTAGGTCAGACTTTGATCCTTCTATTTATGCTTCTTGAGTAGCTGAAGTGATAGGTATGCATCCCTGCACCCAGCTATTGGTTGAGATGAGGGTCTTTTTCCCTGGGATGGCCTCAAACTTTGTTCCTCCCAATCTCCACATCCCAAATAGCTAGAATCACAGTTATTGAAACTGGAGTTTTGGACCCAAGGCCCAAATTCCTGAGATTCCATATGCCAGGTCTGGCCAGCTGCCCCTAAATGCCAAATAAAGAGGCATGATGAAGGCAGAGAAAGTAGATTTATTACACAGCTTGGGACATGCCATGGGAAGAGGCAGAGTAAGAACTCAGCTCATCTTCAGCCCCACCTTTGGGGTACAGATATGAGCTATGGGTTTAAATAGATAAAAGAACTGGGGGCAGGGGACAAAGGTATGCATTGTTAAACAGCTCCCTGTTGCTGACCTGGTTTTCCTTTATGAATTATTTCAAGACTAGTACTGACTAGGATGTGTCCAGTAGTGGGATGTTGTTGCATCTTCCCTGGCTTGAATTGGAAGACTTTTAGCTACAGGAGATTTGTATTAGTTTTTAATTTTTTGATGGGACTGGGATTTGAACTCAGGGCTTTGCACTTGCAAAGCAGGTGCTCTACAGCTTGAGCCACATCTCCAGTCCATTTTGCTCTGGTTATTTTGGAAATGTGGTCTCAGGAAATATTTGCCCAAGATCCTCCCCATCTCAGCCTCCCAAATAGCTAGGATTACAGGAGTGAGCCACCCACACAGATCAGATTTCTAGTATACTCTCTGACAAATTGCTCCTTTCCCTTTTCTCTTTCTCAAGGTTTTATTTTTTATTTATTTACTTAACTCTTTTTTGCGATACTGAGGTTTAAACTCAGGGCCTACACCTTGAGCCACTCCTCTAGTTTTTGTGATTTTTTTTTTTTTTGATAAGGTCTCAGGAACTATTTGCCCTGGCTGCTTCCAATCGCGATCCTCCTGATCTCTGCCTCTTGAGTAGCTAGCATTATAGGCATGGGCCATCGCGCCAGGCAGGCTTTATTTTTTTAACCACAGGATTCCCTAACTTACCCTCTGGGATTCCAAATGATATTCCATGTACCACCAGCAGCAGCGTAATTAGGAAAATGCAGAACCTCAGGCCCGAACTCAAATCCCCAGTATCAACATCTGCATATTATCTACCCTTTTTCTTGGGCGGGGGGAGGGGGCTTGCTAGGGCTTGAACCAGAAACTTGTGCATCCGAGGCAAGCGCTCTATCACTGAGTTACATCCCCAGCCGAACATCTGCATTTCTGGAAGACTTGCAGTCTTGCAGTACCGTTGGCCGCTATTTCCCTGGTAACTGTAGGGAGGAACGCTTGTGGACATTGCTGGTATTGCCAGCAGAGCTGCGCATGGCAAGAGCGCAGTGAGAGACCTCAAAGGTGACCTCAAAAAAGGAAAGGGATGCGGGACCAGGAGGGTCTGCAGACAATTTCCCAGCCAAGTGCCGAGCGGAAGGCTCGGAGCAGGGAACCCTTCAGACTCAGAAACGCCACCGCCATGACCTCGGGAAGCGGCGGGCTCACCGCGGACGGTGGGCTCGAGGCAGAGCCGCCGCGCTCCGCAGGCGCTGCTTGGCCACGTGGGGTGTTTTTCCGGAGGGAGCCTCTCGCGCTGTGAGCTGTGGTCGTCTTACACACGCCCCCCAAGTCCGGGGACTGGGAGTGAAGCCGTCTGTGAAAGAGGGCCTGTCCGGACCGCGCGGCGGCCTCGGGGGCGCACAGGGCTTCGGGACGCAGCCTGGGTGTTCGCGCCCCACCTCGGAGCGCGCTCGGGTGAGACCGGTTCCCGGTGGCCGGCCGCGGTCCTGGGACGACGGCGGAGTTCCCTTCTGGCCAGGGTTCTGCATTTCCCGTGCGGGAGCGGGGCAACCGGTTGAAATACGCAGGGTCACAGCAGGAACCCCAGTCTAGTGCGGCAGCCAAGCCCGTCCCTTTGTCAAGGCCCCAGCTAGGCGCTGAACACAGCTGCGCAGGCGCGCACGGACGCAAACGTAGTGACGTGAAAACAAGGCGCAGGCGCGGACGTTCCTGACGCAAGCGACTCTGGAGAGAAACGTGCACACAGTGAGCGGCGGATGAGCTACGCATGCGCAGTGAGAAGAGCCTGGTAGGGCGCATGCGTAGTGGCTGGGGAAAGGCGCGGCGCTTGCGCAAGCGGTATTGGGGCCATGGGCGGGGTGTGCACGGCTACGCAATGGCTCCCAGCGCCCCGCCTCGGACTTGGGCTTCCTGACGCTGCCAGCAAGCGGGGTCTCCCGGGCCGGCGTAGTCGTCATGTACCCGCCGCCGCCGCCGGCGCCTCACCGGGATTTCATCTCGGTGACGCTGAGCCTTGGCGAAAGTTACGACAACAGCAAGAGCCGGCGGCGGCGCTCCTGCTGGAGGGTGAGGCGGGCTGGGGCGACCTGCGGGGAGGACGGAGGTCCCCGGGGTCCCGACTGGGGGTAGTCTAGCTCTCGTCCGGTTGGTAAAGTTCTTGTTCGGCGCCTGGCCCGCGGCGGGCCGGGTCCAGTGCGGTCAGATCTCCTCTGTACGGGAATGGACGCGCTCTGCCGGGCTGCCTGCTTGGGTGCTCCCGGTGGTCCTGGGCTGAGGGCACGGACGCAGCGCCCACGGGCTCATGCCCGGCCGGCCGCCTGGCCGGAGCTGGATCGCGGGGACTGTGGGAGTCTCCAGCGCCCAGGCAGCTGGACACTTGGCTGCGCCGTGAGCCCGCGTTCTCACGCGACGTGGTGGCTCGACGCTGTAAACCCTGCCGGCAGGGGACTTCTCTGCCCTCAGAACAAGTACGACTGACCACTGGGGGTCTCTGAATCCCACGCTGTCCTCACTAAAGCTGTGACAAATGTCGTTCTCTGCTCCTTTCTTAGAAATGGAAGCAACTGTCGAGATTACAACGGAATGTGATCTTCTTCCTCTCAGCCTTTCTGATTCTCTGTGGGTTCCTGTCCTACGTCCACATGGCTGACCAGTGGAAAGGTATCAGGAACACCAGTGGTGCCCGAGGATACTAAGCTGGGGCCTCAGGGCAGATACAATATTGCAGTCTAGCTTAAATCGCTTTAGGAGACTAGGTGGCAACAAATTATCGGGAAATGCGAAGGAGAAAGATGAAACAGTATATAACTCCTGGCTGTAGAACAGACATGCCAGCAGAGTGCTCTCCCCACGAACCTCGTGTGAAATCTGCTTTCAGCTCTCAGAGAACATCAGTTATGAACAGTCTCCATAGTTACATTCCTGTCCTACTGCCTCTCACTATGTTTGCAAAAGTCCAGTAGATTTCTGGTGAGGAGCACACTCTGTTTGAGCTTCTCTAAGATTGCTGCTCTTAGAGCTGCTGCAGGTGGTGCAAACACATTGCCCGTTTGTCACCACGTTGTGTTTTCTAGAATGCACACTATTAAGGTGCAGTGCTTTGGGGTTGTGTGTTGTGCTTAAGGACACACACTGCCAAATGCTTTTAAAAAGATTCATTTGCCTCTGATCTTAAATTCAATGATTTTTTTTTTTTGGGGGGTGGTTCTTGTGTCTGAACTCTGGGCAGCAAGCACTCTGCCAATTGAGCCACACCCCAGCCTGTTTTGCTTTACTTCATTTTTCAAATAGGGTCTCCCACTTTTGCATGGGACCAGCCTCTATCTGCTATTCTCCTTCCCTGGGTAGCTGGGATTACAAGTGTGTATCATCATGCCATGCAAATCCATTGACTTGGAATTGTCACTGTCCTAATGTAATGAATAACACCTATCTAGATGGCTCTTATGGAGCAGTTTAAATCTCCTCCAGGCCTTGAGGTAAAAGATTCTCTTTCATAGCCCTGAGTGGCAGATCCCTAGAAGATCAGAAGATTATACCAGAAATTCCTGAGTTGAAACCAGCAAAGTTGCTCATCTTATCAGCTCGACAGAAGGCAGGCGACAACCCAGAAGACTCTCCAAAGATACTGCTTCAGGTACAGTAAACACTACATGGAGTTGTACATGGAGTTGTAACGGGTCCGTTCAAGAGCATAAGCATTCCAAGACAGTAAATACTGCTTCAAAAGGCTGAGAATAACTACTCTCCCTAACACTTTGGCTGTGCTTTCACCTCATACTTGCTCATTCCAGGGTGGTTCTGTAATAGTTGGGGAAGGGAAGTCTTACTCTTCTGCATTCTCTTTGAATGCAGCCCTGGGCTGGCTCCTGTGTTAAGTGCTGGCTGCCCAGTAATGAAGGAAAGAGACTTGTCCCTTTTCTGGAGGAGCCACAGACTGGCAGGAGAGGCAGGCAAGGGGCCAGAAAAAAAATATGATCAAGCAGATGGCACATGGTTCACACCCCTTGTGAAAAGATCAGGAAGTGCTAAGGCAGATAGGGGGACCAATGCTGAGGGATTGGGCATCCTCTGATGTGGCCCTGAGGTTGCTGTCTGATGGTTGAGAAGCCCCAGGCAGAGGGGCCATTGAGGGCTGAGCAGGAGCTGACCTTGGGACAGTGAAGTTCTTTATTGGGCTTGGGGGACAGCATGGAGAATGGACATATGGTGTTAGGATTACCTGGCAGGGGAGGCAGGTAGTAATTCTGTGTGTTTAGGGCAGGGACAAGGGAAGTGGAATCCAGAGATAGGTCGGAGATAGCAAGAGAACCCATCACTGATAGACGGAAGACCAGACCTGACATGAATGTCTTTGGGGGGGTGGGCAGGATTGGGGTTTTAGCTCAGGGCCTCATGCTTGCTAGGCAGGCGCTCTACCATGTGAGCCACTGTCAGCCCTTTTTTTTTTTTTTTTTTTGGGTAGGATTGGGGTTTGAACTCAGGGCTTTGTGTTTATAGAGTAGTTGCTTTACAGCATAAGCACAACTCTAGTTCATTTTGCTCTGGTTATTTTGGAGATGGGTCTCATAAACTATTTGCCCAGGCTGGCCTTAAATCTCAGTCCTTCCCATTTCAGCCTCTCAAATAAGATTACAGGTGGGAGCCACTGGTGCCCAGCTCAGACCTGAATGTCTTGAGAGCTGGAGCTGGTGCCCACTGCAGTTCATTTGCTCTGCACCTGTGAAGCCTTTGGGTGCCAATTAACTATTGTCCACATGGCCATGACTGTGCCTAGCAAACATGGCTAGGCCTTGGGTGCTTCCCCTGTGGGCGGAGCCGTGAGTGCCAGGTGGAGGTTTCACATCCCTGTAGGGTGTCATGTGGAGATGCACAGGAAGTCTTTGCTGACAGTACTCTTAGGGAGCTGCCTCTCCAGGACTGGCTTTTGGACTGGGAGGTGGAGGCCAGACCCTGCCCACTGGGATCTAAGCATGGGACTGTGAGCCCTGGTGAGCTTGGGAGTTCCTTCACTATACTTCTGGGGTGTTGTGCTCTTTCTCCATGAGAAAGGATGTTCTCCCAAACGCTGCATACTTGATAGAGAGTACAGGAAAGCAGGCGGAAGCCACCATCTGCTTCAGCGACCCCACATCCTTCTGTGGAAAGTGGTGTTTGTAGAGCTGCTGAGCAGTATGTAGCTGGGCCATGTAACTGGCAGAGGGTGGGAATTGGGAACGGCCATACTCATGGGACTGTCATGCTTCAGGTTTTGGGGGCGCTGCTCTATACAGCTGTTGGATGGACGAACTCTATCCCAGACAAGAATCTGTGTACAGGCTAGTTTCCCCACAGTGATGTTGACCAGTTTCCTCCCATTGTTTGGCCTCTTTTGTATGTGGAATCTTACCTGCATAAAAATAGAGAGTGACCTTTTTTTCCACTGAAAGATGTGTCTGCACCATTGTGTCCCTTAAACTTGTATCTAACATTCAGTAGGGTTCAGGGCAGAACATGATGGATATTTTGAGTATGTCTCATAGTTTCTGGGGGTATGCTGCTCTCAGAAGCCTCGTGGAACTCCTCCCCTGCCCAGGCTCTGACTCTTATCTGGAAGACTTTGCAGCAGGGGACTAGTCTGCCACACCCTTTTCTATTAATGTTTACACTTTAATGGTTTTGAAATGTTACAGTGTTTAGGAAGGAAAATTGGAATTTTGGGACAAGTACAAAGTGAAAAAACAGCCACTCATTGTCACTTTACCCAGGGCAACTTTTGAAACATTTGGTGTATTTTGTTAGTTTCCTTTGTACACAGTTGAGGCTTTGGTGTCTTTGTGAATTTGCATTCTGGGATTTTGGTACACGTGAGAATATCCCGTCATGCATGTTTTTTATTGCCAGATCTTCTGTTATCAGAAGATAACAGGATGTATCATAACTTGCTAAGTCATTTATCTATTGAGCATTTGCTCATTGCTTATAAATAAAATCAAGGGTGTGATTCTGTACTTGCTGCTATGGAAACCCATGCATGCTGTGGAGAACAGGGCTGGGAGGCCTGCCAGCCTGTTGAGAGGACTGCCCCATGTGTGGGGGTGGCAATGGGACTCTGTGTTCTTTCCAGTTCTGTGCACTGGGAGAACATGGTGCTCTTCCATCCTTTCTCAGGAGAGAGAGCGGGCAGGAGGGAATAGGCAAGAGGTGTTGCTTTTCTGTCTCCAGCTGCAGGGCCTCGGTCCTCACTGTTCTTATCCCTTTAGGATCTGTGACAATCCAACCTCTTTGTCCAGCCTGTAGTAGCCAATTGGCTGTCTCCAAGTTCCTAAGTATCTCACCTCCCAAACCTGCAGACCATATTCAGAAGTGAATGTAATTTCCAGAGAACACCAGGCCACCACCCTCTCTAGGTGTGGGTGTCCATTTGTCTTCAAACAGACAGGCAGGTGAGGTAGTCTTACCTTTGACTCTGATTTTTGTTCAGAAGTTTGGAAAGCATGTCCGGCGAGGACCCCCCCGCCTGCAGATCAGACCCCCCAACACAGTCTCCAAGGATGGGATACAGGATGACGCTAAGGAACAGGAAGCAGCCCTAGGAGATGCTCATCAGGAGGAAGACATGCAGCGCACAGTCATCAGGTACAGAGAGTGTGGGAAATGGATCTAAACATGCAGTGTCATCATGGGTTGTGAGGCCAGCCTGATTGGGTGTTTTTGTAAAAAGAACTAGCATCTTGTCTAGCTGTACTTCCATTTGAAACAGATAATACGTGGCCCATAAAGTTGTCTTCTTTGAGCTTTATTGAGACAAATTTCCAAAGCTGGAGGTGAGAGCCAAGTTAGGTCGCTGACCCCTATTCGTGGTGTGCAGTTCTGTCTGGAAGCAAGAATGTTTTAAGGAGTGGCTTAAGTGGTAGAGTGCCCTGCCTGGCAAATGTGAAGCCCTGAGTTCAGACACCAGTACCACCAAAAATAAATAAACAAGTGACGTTTTAAGGAGTGTAAGGGTGGTGGGTCAGAAGGGATAGGGCGGGAGAAAGTATGAGAGTGAGACTCAGGCATCTTCTCTTGTGGGCAGGCAGCTGTGGGGCTGCCAGCTGCCTGGCAGGTACCCCTTCCTGAGTCCCTTTTGGTAGACAGTGAGCAAAGTGAGGGGACAGGCTCCTGCTCCAGGATAGATACCATTGGTCTGTGTGTAGCTTATAGCACCCACAGAAGCCTCAGCCCTACAGGGCTCTTAGCCTCAGTTCCTATTCAGTGTCAAACTTTGGGAACCATAGTAATGCCACTGAGGCTCCCAGGAACTGCTCTCCAGCCCTCACACCCAGCATCACAGCAAGTCCCCTTAGGAATAAGGAGACAAGACCTGAGCTCTGCTGTTTCACAGTAGTCAACACAGACTGCTGCCAGGTGGGAGTGGCCTGAGCCAGGTGATGTGAGCCTCCAGATCTATTCTCTGAGGATGTGGGACTTGAGACCTTGGTCTCAGGAGCACATGAGGAGCCAGCACAAGTGTCCTTGAGGCAGAACTGTGGCCTGAGGAGGGCCTTGATCATGTTTCAGTGATGAAAGCAGGCTCACTTAAGAGTCATTGTGTCTGACTTAGTGTGGCAGTGTCTGGAGTTGTGCTCCCAGACATGAACCCTTGGAAATGAGGCAGTGGATGAGCCTGGTCCTCATTCTGCTCAGGTTGTTCAACAGACCCTTTGGGCCCATCTTCATCCCAGGGTCAGGTGGCACATCCTCTGCCTGTTCCCCATATGTGGCTCATTGCTCAAACGGACATCTGGGCACCTTTGTGCTCGTGAGTAGATAATGCTAGTAGTCTAGGCGGCCACCCCAGTTCCTGTGGCCACCTCACTTCACTTTGGGTTTGGATGATAAATTGTATGGTCACCCAACTTAGAGAAGCACTCAGCCTCTGGCCACCTCTGTGGCGTCATTTCTCACAGTTCCCCACAGGTCTAAGAACTCCTCACACTTGAGTCTCTGTCTCCAGGCTTGCTTTGAACAGCTTTGGTTTATCTTCTCTGTGTAGAGGTGACCTTGGCCTGCCTGTCCTGTCCTTGCCATGCCCATGCCCATGCCCTGGAAGAGTGTCCCCATCGTGACAGATCATCTGGGCCATGTCAGACTGACTGGTTGTTTCCCTGATCTAGATATGGTTGTAGGGTGGGAAGCAGTGAGCAGAGAGCAGTTCATGGAGCTGATTGATCTCCCTTCTGTCCCTGAAGCTGGCGAGGAGCAGTGATTGAGCCTGAGCAGGGCACTGAACTCCCTTCAAGAAGAGCAGAAGCCTCCACCAAACCTTCCTTGCTGGCAGCCAAGATGCAGGAAAAAACAGGTGTGTTTTCCCACCTGCCTCCCTCGCCTCACCTGGGCCTATGCTCAAGAGACTGGGAGTTGGGAGTCTGTCCAAGAATGCCTTCCTGTCCGACTCCCGTCCAGTTTGTTCTTCAGAGTCCAAGTACCATCTCTGGTCCTCAGGTTCACACACTTCTTCCAGCTCTGGTGACGGTCTGTGTTTTCTTCTTGAGTCTGATCTTCTGCCTGAGACTGAGTAGCAGGGGCAGATGCTGTGTTTGATTTGATTTGCTGCTCTGCCTGTGCCAGATTGTGCTTTGGGAAAAGTGGAGACACAGCTGTCTCTTGACAGGTCCACTTATCTGTGGGCCACTGGGATATTAGCTCCATTCCTTGAGGGCCTGCTTGGTCTTGGTCTCCTGCTAAGCTCTGTGAGTGTCAGGCTTTCTACATTCTCACGATGTCTTTTGAGGTAAGAAGTGCCTTTGTATTCCCATTTACATTTAGGAAGCTGAGGCTTTGGTCTGTGCTGATGGGGTCCACTCACCAGATTCTGTTCTGCCTGTGCTGCCAGAGCCTCTGAGTATAGGAGAACAGAGCAACCCTGAACTGGAACTCACAGCCCTGGGTGTGACAGGGACATACAGGGATCATTGTGGCATTAGGAGTGGACAGACTATGCTCTGGAGCCTTAGAACTCTTGGGAGGAGTTGTGCAGTATGACACTTTTATGCTTTATCTACACAGTAAGACTGTGAGTGTGCACTGCTTAGTGTAGGAGAAGAAAGTTCCCAGGGGGACTCTTCAGGGAGCCCACTCACATCCCCAGTTTGTCTGCACCAGGCCCTGTTCTTATGGGACTCCCAAAACTTTTTTGGCCAGATAGTGTATGTGCACTGAGGAGCTGCTTGTTACGGTCTGCTCCATTAGTGTTTTCTATTTCCAAATCCACGTTGCATGCTGCTGAGCCCAGCATGTTCATCTGTGACCTCAAAGGGCTTTGCTGTGTGTTGGCCAGTGGCTGTGTGGGTACTGCCCCTGTCACCCTTGAACAGAGACCCCTGTGGCCTGAGAGTGGATTTATCTGCTGGGCCCCATGGAACCTGGTGGCTGGTGCTGTTGAGTGTGGCCTCTGGAGGCCTCACCCCCTGGGTACTGTGTCCATCTCTAGGGGTCCCACTGTGGAACCCCTGTCCCTGGCCTTGACTGCTTCACTGAAGCCCTTCTTGCCTCTTTTTATTCTACTCATGGCTCTTGCTCTCATCCATCCTGCTCTACTCAGTGCTCACAGCTGGTCTCTGCCTGGAGGCCCAGTCTGCCCCAAAAGGAGAACTGCCCCCCACTACCTCTTCTCTCTTCCCTTCTAGTGCCCCCGAATGAGCGCCAGAAGGCAGTGATCGAGGCCTTCCTCCATGCATGGAAGGGATACCGCAAGTTTGCTTGGGGCCATGATGAGCTGAAGCCTGTGTCCAAATCCTTCAATGAGTGGTTTGGCCTGGGTCTCACGCTCATTGATGCCCTGGACACCATGTGGATTTTGGGTCTGAAGCAAGGTACTGGCTCATTTCTGGAGCACACCAAATTCTCTGTGTGACATGCAGGCCAAGGCAGTGCATGAGGGGCATGAAAGAGACTCTCTCCATTTGATCTTGTGCCCTTCCTTCTGGGTGCAGGAGTGGATAAGCTTGCTACGGTCCAGCTTGTTCTTCCATCCAGACACACAGGGCCCATCAGAGCAGTTCTCCCCTTGCCTCCTGGAGAGACTTGGGGGAGAGGGTGTTGCCCAGGAGGCATCTCTAGTCTGTTGTGCTGCAGTGAGGAGGAGGGACTTGAAGTCTGATGTGGCCACCATGGCCCCATATTTGTGATGTGCCTGTAGGTGCCTGTAGTTATTTCTAAATTGATAGTTTAAACCTTTGCTTAATTGCTCAAATAACCTGAAGACCACCGAGTCACTCAGGTGAGGTGGTCTTTGTGTCACAGCCCTTGGTGGAAACCGTTTGTGCGGCTACTCCACTACCCTGGTTCCATCTGTGCACATTGATGAGTTCCTTGAGATGGGAAATGACCATGAAGCCCTGAAGGAGGGTAGCTCCCCAGAAGGCGTTTAGAAGATGGGTGTCCAGCAGGAGAATGACAAATCTGTGTTTGTTCCTGTAACTCTCACTCTCATGTCACAGAATTTCAAGAGGCCCGAACGTGGGTGTCACAGAAGTTAAACTTTAAGAAAAACGTCGATGTCAACCTGTTTGAGAGCACCATCCGCATTTTGGGGGGCCTGCTCAGTACCTACCACCTGTCAGGAGACAGCCTCTTCCTGAGGAAAGCTGTGAGTGTCTCCTGGTCACGGGTGCCTGCGGGGTGATGTGTGGATGGTGTTTCCAGCTGTTACTCCTTTAGGGGAGGGAGCTTTGGGGATTCGCTTGCTGTTTTCTCCTCAGATACACACTTGAGGGTCTGCTGCTGCCTTCTGTGTGCCTGTGTTTCCTGATGGGGTGCCATTTCTCATGGCACCTTGCAGGAAAAATCACTAGTGCTGATCATCTGCAGCTTATTTTTGCTTAAGATTTTTGCTGTCCCCCACCCCCCGCCCCCCCATCCCCCAGCCACCAGTGGCTCAAACCTATAAACCTACTACTGGGGAGGCTGAGATCAGGAGGATCTTGGTTGCAGGCCAGCCTGGGCAAATTTTGTGATGTGAGACCCCATCTCAGCTGAGAAAGGCTAGGCATGGTGGCATTTGCCTGTCATCCCAGTGTGATAGCAGGAAGTTTAAAATAGGAGGCTCATGGTTCAGACTGGCCTGCACCAAAAGCGAGACCCTATCTCCAAAATAACCAGTGCAGAAAAAGGCTGGAGATGTGACTCAAGCATCAGAGCACCTGTCTAGAAAGCAGGAAACCCTGATTTCAAACCCCCGTACACCAAAAAAATTTTTGCTTTAAGATTTCCACATATGATCAGGATACTGATCAGATATATGATTTTCAAGTGTTCTTTCCCACTCTCTCTTTGCTTTTTTCACATCTGTTGGGCATTGGGGAGCCACCAAGCCACGCCAGTCCATTTACTTGGCAGTGAATGGCTGATGCTTTGTAGTCCTGAAGTGAGAAAGAGGCTCTCTGTGACCAGGACCTTTGGTTCTCTGCTGTGCCAGGAAGATTTTGGAAATCGGCTAATGCCTGCCTTCACAACACCCTCCAAGATTCCATACTCTGATGTGAACATTGGCACTGGAGTTGCCCACCCACCCCAGTGGACTTCAGACAGCACAGTGGCTGAGGTGACAAGCATTCAGCTGGAGTTCCGAGAGCTTTCTCGTCTCACAGGAGTTAAGAAATTCCAGGTAGGACAGGCTGGTTTCTAGACAGGCACAGTTCCCCAGACCTAACTTTTCCTTATCACAAATACGGTTTATGTATGAGTGTTAATGTCTCTTAATTTTTTCCTTTTTTCAACTTTTTTTATTGTGAGAAAACACATAAGATTCACCATCTTAACTGTGTTGACTGTAGTTCATTGGTATTAAGTATATTTGTGATGCTGTAACCATCAATGCCACCCATGTCCATAGCTCTCTTCTTGTGAAATGGACACTGTCCCCTTTAAAAACTCTGCTCCCTTCCTTCAGGCCCTGGCAGCCCCCAATCCACCATGTCTCTGAATTTATGTCTCCTGGGTTCCTTGTGTGAACAGTCTACATTGTCTGTCCACTTGTGACTGCTCCTTCTATTTGGTATGATGATGAAGCTTCCTCTGTGACTAAAGATACAGGGTTTCCTTCCCTTTCAGGCCATGTCGTTCCCTTATGTGGACTGACCTCATGTTGCTTATAAATCCATCTGTTGATACACACTTGGGCTGCTTCTGGGTTTTAGCTTTACTGAATAATGCTGCTGTAACTGTGGGTATTAGATACTATTTTTTTTTTTTTTTTGAGTAGGAGTGAGGTTTGAACCCAGGGGTTCACGCTTGCAAAGCAAGTACTCTACAGCTTGAATCATACCTCCAGTCCATTTTGCTCTGGGTATTTTGGAGCTAGGATCTCACAAACTATTTGCTCAGGCTGGCCCAATCTCAGCCTCCCAAGTAGCTAGGATTATAGGCATGAGCCACCATTGTCCAGCTTTTTTTTTCTGGTGGAACTGGGGTTTGAACTCAGGGCTTTGTGCTTACAAAGCAGGTGCTTTACCACTTGAGCCACGCCTCCAGTCCATTTTGCACTAGTTTTTTTTTTGAGATGGGGGTTGTGAACTATTTGCTCAAACTGGGATCCTCCTGATCTCAGCCTCCCAAATAGCTAGGATTACAAGATATGAGGCATCAGCGCCTGGTCATTCTCTGTCCTTTTGGTAGTACCCATCTCATTGTGGTTTTCACTTGCATTTCCCTGATGTTAGTGATACTGAACATCTTCTTGTGTGCTTATCGGCCATTTGTATATCCTTTCTGGAGAAACACATTTGAGTTCTTGCCAAAACCCGTCTTCTGAAGTGCTGGGGACAAAGCCCAGCGCTTTTCATACATTAGTGAACATTCACCCATTGTGCTACATCCCCCAACACCTTTTGACTTGTATTTAAGTTGGATCAGGAATTTTCTGGTTTGTTCTTGTGTTTTTGAGACAGTCTCACTGTATAACTCAGGTTATTGTTGAACTCACAGTCCTCCTGCCTCAGGCCATCATGCCTGCCTCTCATTTGTGGTGTTGTTGAGTTTTAAGAATTCCACATATCAGCCGGGCACTGGTGGTCACACCTATAATCCTAGCTACCTAGAAGGCAATGATTGGGAGGATCATGGTTGAAGCCAGCCTGAGCAAATAGTTCACAAGACCCTATCTCAGAAATACCCAACACAGGACTAGAGGAGTGGCTCTAGTGGTAGAGTGCCTGTTTTGCAAGTGTAAAGCCCTGAGTTCAAACCCCAGCCCCCCCCAAAAAAAAGAAATACCCAACACAAAACAGCTGGTGGAGTAGCTCAAGTGGTAGAGTTCTGCCTAACAAGCCTGCAAGCATGAGGCCCTGAATTCAAACCCTAGTACTGCCAAAAAAAAAAAAAAAATCCGTTACTAATCTCTTGTTAGATACATAATTTTCAAATCGTCCGTCCCATTCTCTGGTTGCCGTTTTTACTAAAAATTTTCATGCTGGCCAATTTTGGGTTTTTGTCTCATTTTTTTTTGGGCAGTACTGGGGTACTATGTGCTCTACCACCTGAGCCACTCCACCAGCCCTTGTTTTTTTTCTTTGTTATCTTTTCTTTGTCTTTGGTGTCATAGCCAAGAAAATCCTGTAAACCCAGCATCATGAAGCTCTTGCCCGTGGTGCCCTCTTAAGATTTGGTTAACTTATGCATAGTGTGAGGTAAGAGGCCAGCTTCATTCTTTTGCATGTTGACAACCAGTTTCCCAGCACCATTTTTCAAAAGCTGTCTCACCCCATTGAATGGTCTTGGCAATTTTGTCAGGAATATTTGACCATATCTTTCAGGCTTTTCCTGTGCTCTTTTCTGTTCCATTGGTCTGTGTCTGTTTTTATGCCAGTATCACACTGCCTTGATCTGTAGTTTGAGTAATCAGGCAGTTTGAGTTTCAGCTTTGTTGATCTCTTAAAAGAAATTATGAAGCTCTTGCCCGTGGTGCCCTCTTAAGATTTGGTTTGGTTGTGTTGGGTGTTGATTTAGGTCTCACACTTAGGGATCTGGCTCATGTTGGGTTAACTTATGCATAGTGTGAGGTAAGAGGCCAGCTTCATTTTTCATGTTGAACAGTTTCCAGCACATTTTTCAAAAGCTGTCTCACCCCATTGAATGGTCTTGGCAATTTTGTCAGGAATATTTGACCATATCTTTCAGGCTTTTTCCTGTGCTCTTTTCTGTTCCATTGGTCTGTGTCTGTTTTTATGCCAGTATCACACTGCCTTGATCTGTAGTTTGAGTAATCAGGCAGTTTGAGTTTCAGCTTTGTTGATCTCTTAAAAGAAATTTGACTACTCAAGTCCCTTGAGATCCCATTTAGATTTTCGGACTGGCTTTTCTGGGCTGCAGAAAGATGTCAGGATGTCGTTGGGTTGTGGAGGGATCGCATTGACTGTGAGGGTTACTTTGAGGAATTTGTACACAAACAATATTAAGTCTCCCAACCCATGAACATAAGATGTTTCCATTTATTTATATCTACTTTAATGTCTTTCTGCAGTGTTTTGTGGATTATTGTAGAAATCTTACACTTTGTGGTGAATTCCTAAATATTCCATTTTTTTCTTTATGAGCTAGCTACAATTTTCTCACGTAATGGTTTTTGTTATGTGGAGGTAGTTCCTTTTATTTTGTTTGTTTGTATGGGTATTTTTGCAGTGCTGAGGATGAACCCAGGGAGGGCCTCATGCATGCTAGGGTAATGCTGTACCACTGGGCCACACCTGAGCATGAGTCCTTTTATTCCTTGTTGCTTGAGCAGTTTGTTTTGTTTTGTTTTTATCATTGTGGTCATTCTCTGTTTTTTGCTGCACTGGGGATTGAACCCTGGGTTTAGAGTGTGCTAAGCAAGCACACTTGAGCCACGCTTTCAGCCCATTTTGTTTGTAGTTTGTTTTTCCATCCTCCTTCTCCTGCCTCCTGAGTAGCTGGGATTACAGCATGTGCCATCACTTCTAGCTGTTGAGTGTTTTTCTGTCATGAAAGAGGAGAGTTAAAGATTGATGTTGATGCTTTCTATCTTGGTTGGTGTGTATAGCACAAAGTGTTTTGTATGTTGAACCATCCTTGAAATCTAGGAATAAATCTCACTTGGTGATGATGCATCACCTGGTGAGTGTGCTGCAGAACTTGCTTTGCTAGCATATTGAGGGTTTTGCATCAATGTGCATAGACAATTTATAGTTTTCTGTCTTGCATCTTTTTTTTTTTCCCTTCAGTATGGGGTCTGAACTCAGGGCCTTCACCTTGAGCCACTCTACCAGTCCTTTTTTGTGATAGGTTTTTTTGAGATAGAATCTTGCAAACTGTTGCCTGGGCTGGCTTTGAACCATGATCCTCCTGATCTCTGCCTCCTGAGTAGCTAGTATTAAAGGTGTGAGCCACCAGCACCACAGTCTGTCTTGTACCTTTGTGTGGCTTTGTTACTAAGATATTGCTGGCTCCATAGACTGTGTTAGAAAGTGTTGCCTCTCCTTCAGTTTTCTGAGACTCTTCCTGCAGTAAACCCACTCTTCCCTTCATCTTCTGCAGGAGGCTGTGGAGGAAGTGACGAAGCACATCCATTCTCTGTCCGGGAAGAAGGACGGACTAGTGCCTATGTTCATCAACACACACAGTGGCCTCTTCACCCACCCGGGCGTGTTTACCTTGGGTGCCAGGGCTGACAGCTACTATGAATACCTTCTGAAGCAGTGGATCCAGGGTGGGAAGAAGGAGACACAGTGAGGCCTGCTTCTGCTGTCTTGGTTCAGGGTCCCAGCTTTTGTCCCTGCTCTTGTCAGCCACCAGCAGTGGTACAGGCCTGGCCTGGCTCCTCCATGTGAGCATGTTCCTCACAGCCTTCATGGGTGAGGGGTCTGGGCGGTTCAGCAGAGTGCATGTTTACTGGTGCCCAGCTTTCTAGGAGCTCAGGGCCTGCACTGCTGTCCTGCACTGAGCATGCAGCGTGTGCTCCCCAGGCAGAGCCAGGCCTATAGTCTTTGTGTGTGGAGAGGTCAGTGATGTCCTTGGCCCTACAACCCTCAGAGGAGGCCAATACCCCTGTTGTCGCCACAGTAAGCTGACTCACTGGTATTTACAGGTTGGTGGAAGATTACCTTGCAGCCATCGAGGGAATAAAGACACACCTTATGCGGCATTCCCAGCCCAGGAAGCTCACCTTCATGGGAGAACTTGCCCACGGCCGCTTCAATGCCAAGATGGTGAGTTATGGGGAGGCTGGTGGGGCCTTCAGGAGGCCATTTCTTCTTTGTGGCTTCTAAGGTCCTGAGTATGGATGCCAAAGGAATGAAATCCTGACCAAGTAACATGAGCCATGGTCACAGGTAGACCTTTGCTGCCTGATCTGACCATGACAGCCCAGGGAGCCAAGGCCTTGTGACATGCCAGGATAAAAATGGGATCCCCTCCCTGTGGTCCTCTCTCAAGTGTCTTATGTTCAGCACATCTCCAAAGGTGTTTGTGGGCAGGTTGGAGGGTCCAGAGAGTCGTGGGTCAGTGTGACCCCTGGGAGAAGCCTGCTCAGCAGCTTCTTTCCTGGACCCTGGGACAGAAGTGCTCGACCTGGACCTGAGTCCATCCTGGTGCTCTTCTGTGTAGCAGGTGTTGCTCAGCTGGGGCTTCTTTCCCACTGGGAGTCTGGAGGCTTGAGCATGCTTGGCCCCAGTGTGGGTCAGCTGAGTGGCATGGGCCTGGGTCCAGTTGTGAGGAGACACTCTGATTCCAGGACCACCTGGTATGCTTCCTGCCAGGGACGCTGGCTCTGGGCGTCCACCATGGCCTGCCTGCTAACCACATGGAGCTGGCCCAGGCGCTAATGGAGACCTGCTACCAGATGAACCATCAGATGGAGACAGGGCTGAGCCCTGAGATTGCTCACTTCAACCTGTACCCCCGGGCAGACCGACGGGATGTGGAAGTCAAGGTGAGCCTACGGTGCACTTGAGTGAGGTTGGTGCCAGCAGGGGTGGAGTGCCTTAAGCCTCTGCTCTTTCCCCAGCCGGCTGACAGGCACAACTTGTTACGCCCTGAGACTGTGGAGAGCCTGTTCTATCTGTACCGTGTCACGGGAGACCACAAGTACCAGGACTGGGGCTGGGAGATCCTGCAGAACTTCAACAAGTACACTCGGGTGAGCTCCCTGGCACCTCTCCATGGTGTCAGGCCAGGTGCCACAGGCATGGTCCTGCTGGCACAGCCATCCTGCTAAGCTTTCTGGCATTGAGAACCTGTTGTGTTTGGGGGCTGTGTTTCTAGGTCTGAGTCTTTCTGGGAAGGGTCCCTGCTCTAGCCCCAATGTGTAGGCCACTGTTTATAAGGCACTTGCTCCCTGACCTGTAGCCCTGTCCCACTGTGGTCAGGGGTCTGCCCAGCATACTGTCTTAAAGGAGTCCTGGTTTACTGATCACCACAGTGGAGCTAGGCATGGCCCCACTCTGATACATAGCTCTCTGTGCTGTCCTCATGGCCGGGGGCCCCAGCCCTCAGCTGCCTCAGCTTTCTTCCAGTTGTGCCCGCCCTTTGCTGTGCGAGGTGCTGGGCCCTGGAGATCCTTCCATGGCCCTGGCCTTGCTGAGGCCCCTTAGCCCAGGTGCTGGAAGAGGTAGTTCCTGTCCTTGTCACTAGGAGGCGGGGGGTATTTGCATTTTCCAGTGTCTCTGAAACTACAGCCAACCTTGGCCATCACCAAGGTGCCCTCTCCTGCCCCACCCCAGCCTTCCCAGGAATCATGTGAGATATGGTGGTAGCAAAGAGTGTGGGAGTGGCTCTTCCAAGGTCTGGTCCTGTGGGGGAGAGGGGCGGTGTGGGAGTTGTGCTCAGTCATGTTATGGAGGCCTTGGCTCTTGTACAGATCCCCTCAGGAGGCTACTCTTCCATCAACAATGTCCAGGACCCCCAAAGGCCTGAGCCCAGGGACAAGATGGAGAGCTTCTTCCTGGGGGAGACGCTGAAGTACTTCTACCTGCTGTTTTCTGATGACCCAAACCTGCTCAGCCTGGACACCTATGTGTTCAACACTGAGGCCCATCCCCTGCCCATCTGGGCCCCCACCTAGGGGAACAGTGCCTAGCCTGGGGACTACTGGAGGGCAGAAGTGGCCCTGTTGGGTCTGGTCATTCAAAGGCTTTGTGGTGTCGGGCAGCTGCAGAGTGCTGGTACTCTTGCCCAGCTCTGGGCCACTCCTTGTCTCTGCTGCTAACAGGTGGCATGAGGAACAAAGAGGAGTCAGATCAGTGGGGATGTGGCTCAAGTCAGAAGGGCTGGTGTTCAGGGTGCAATAGTCCACCAGAAACTTTTGTTCAGCCTTCTTCCTCAGAAACTCAGATCACAACTCCAAACTCAGATCCCAATTCCTAAGCCTGAACCTCCCTTCGCTGACTGTAAGGAGCCTTGTGAGGGTCCCGGGGCCTCAGGCCACCTCCTAGGGCCCCTCAGGACCTCAGAGCCTGCGTTGTGTTTAGTAAGAAGACCTGAGGAGACAACCCACAAGGTCGCTCTGCTCAGGCTAACAGAGCCTGTGGATGTCCACAACCCAAGGATTTATAGGGGCCACTGTGACCTTGAGGGACCCTGTGGCTCTGGTGTTTCCATGTTGGACTCAGGGATCCTCCTAGCTGCCTTGCAGGGAGGGGGGGATGGCAAGTTTGTCTTGTACCCTGGTAGAATGGGACTTCTCAGCTGAGATAAAAGGTGACTTCTACTGTGATGGCTCCTGTGTGTGTAAGGGATCTTTGGACTGGAAAACCTGAGCTGATCTTGGGGGGCAGCAGTGCTGTTCCGGATCACACCTCATCTGTTCCCTGAGGTCAGAACTCCTGCTGCCTGTTGCAGGTAGAAGGTCAGCAATTGGGACCAAGATGCTTAGCCTGTGCTGTCCTCATGTGGGTCCTATGAAGGTTTTGCTCCTGCCAGCTGGTAGGACCACATGGGTGGATGAGGGAGGTACACCACGTGGTCAGGTGTTACCCTGTGGTGGTATGATTGGTGTCTGTGCCACACTCTTCTTGGAGTGGGGTCTTTGTGTGTGAACTCCTGGACATGAGGCAGAGTTGGCCTCGCTATGTCAGATGGAGTGTCCTTGACACAGGGCTAACCTGTACCATGGCTGGGATCCTCCATCCCAGACCTGGGTGACTCCTCACGAAGGCCTAGCTCCATCCTCCTGTGGTGAGTGTGAGGAGTTTTTCACTTTTGTCATTTCTGAAAGATTCCCCCTTCCCCGGGAAAGCCAGAGTCCAGGCAGTACAGGGTCGGGCCACCTGACAACCTCAGGCCCACAACCCATGAGCCATGTGCCCCTTGAGGTCCTGGTGCCAAGGTTGAACAGGACATGTTTCCTGCCTGTACGCATTTCAGTGCCAGCCACTCTGCTACTCCCAGGGACAGCAGATGTCCTCAGGGGCTTCCTATCAGACTCCTACCTACACCAAGCTGGCTCTGACCCCAGAGGTGTCTGCATGGAAGGACCCAGCTGTGATGTGTTCTCACTGAGGACACCTTGGCACCTTTCCCCACATTTAAGGGGTAGTCTCTTGACCCCAGCCCACCCCATGGGTTGACATGCAGGACTAGGCAGTGATTGAATCCACCTTACAAATCAGACTGTAGAGCTGGATGCCAGTGGATTACACTTGTAATCCTAGCAAGTCAGGAAGCAGAAAGAGGATCATGGTTCAAAGCCAGCCTGGGCAACTAGTTGGCAAGACCCTATCTCTAAAATACCCAACACAAAAATCTGGTAGAGCATCTGCCTAGCAAGCATGAAGTCCTGAGTTCAAACCCCAGTACCACCAAAAAAAAAAGGCTGTGGGATGGCTCAAGAGACTGAGACGTGCACATTCTCCATCTCACACTCGGTCTCCCAAACACACTGTAGGACAGTTTGGATCATATCCCCCTCCCCGCCCCAGATGACTGTGAGTCAGAGCTGTGACTGGAGAGGATCCCAGTGAGCCATGAACCTGTACTGCCTGCAGTGGAGCCCTAGGCAGGGAAGCTTTGCCCTGGGAGGGAAAGGCAGATTTCCCTTCCTATTGTCCTAAAACATCAACCTGAGAGTTGAGTATGTGCTTTATTAAATGACTGGTCAGTAGGCTGTGTGCAGTGTGTTCCTTGCTTGGGAGTTGTTGCTATGCGTCTCCCTCCATCCTCCACATACAGACCCCACAGGTCAGAAGGATGCACTTGGCCTAACAACCAGACATTTATTCAGCTCCTCTCGGCCACCAGCCCCTCTCTTGCTTGGGGCCAGCCTTCATGGTCTGGATGGTCCTGCCAAATGCAGTGGGGTGGCCAAGGCCACAGCTCCTCAGTCCATAAGGAATGTCTAAAACATTCCCCGCCAAGTCCCATCTGGTCTTAGCTGGCTGAAAGCTGCCTCTTAGCCCTTGGTCCTCCGTGTGGTAGTAGCCACTGCTCATTTTTGGCTGCCTTTACCCACTCGCGGATGAGAGTGGCCTCCAGCTTTCGTGCCTCCACAGCTGATTCAGGGTCTCTTGGATGAGAAGCTCTGAGGAATAGGCACAGGGAGAGGGCCAGCTCAGCTGGGTGAGCAGACCCCTAGCCCATAGGGTGAATTTCATACCCCCTCCCATCCCACCATCCAGCTGTTGACCCAAGATCAGGAAGAGAAGGGAGTCAGTGGAGGCTGCCTCCCACTGCACCTGAGGTCTAGGTGATGTGCTCCTCCCTGGATGGTGACAGCGATTATTGATGTGCTCAAGTTCCTCCTTATCTGTTAGTGGAAGGAACTCCCATTAGACATGTAGCCTGTGCTTTGGGTCACAAGCAGCCCGACCTCTACTCTCCCACCTAAGTGCCTGTCACAATTTGTGAGATGCAACTAAGACAGTAACTTGAGGTAGCTGCATAGCTACCTCAAATCCTACTGAAAGAACAGGTGAAGAATAATGAACCTGCTGTCAGTCCACACTAATCAGGAAAAGAAGCAGCCAAAACAGGGAAGAGGAAATAAGGATCAGAGCAAAAATGGATGAACTAGAACAAGGGATGAAACTGTAAAGGCAAAGCTAGCTCTTTGAGAAGATTCTGGCAAATAGGGAGATCCCACAAAGGACCACTCACAAAAACTAATAGGGTCATACAGCCCAGGGGTTGCCAAGATCACATATGTGAGGCCAGCAGCTATCTGGGCCAAGACTCACCCCACCCCCTGCCCAGGGGTCTAGGTCACCGTTGGAGAAGATGATGTTGCTGGCTGCTTTAAGATCTGAAATGGCAGAGCAAGTGGTGGTTAGGGACCTGGTGTGGCCCCCAAAGCCGTGAGCTGGGTGAAAGTGTGCACAGCCAGCTCAATACAGACAGAAAGATGCTGCCCAGCACCCCCTCCCCTGGGTACCCAGCCTTTACCACCGCCCCAGAAGTTGGCCTTCAGCCAGTCTGGCCGGGGCTGCACGCCCCACTTTTTCAGACAGTACTGCTGGCGGATCGTATTGGTGAATGGGAGATCAGGGAACATGTCAGTCACATTGTTGCTGTCAAACGTCAGGTTGATCTCGGTGCATGCCTGCAGGCACCCCACACCGAGGTCAGGCAGATGGCACACACCCATACCCCACACCTGGCCACTTAAGCTGTCCCCACCCCTGCACCTGATAGTCCCAGGCCTTGGCGTCAGAGCCAGTGCCGCAGCCGGTGGGGTCAGCACAGCTTTGGTATAGCTGGTAGATGTCATAACAGTGCGCCGTGCCAGAGGAATTGTAGATCAGCCCTAGGGAGGAGGGGTACTGGAACCAGCAATGGGACACAGACATTCCACATGCTCAGGCCACCAACTAAGCCCCCTTGAAGGGTCCTGCAGGTAGTGGAGGTTCTGGGACCCCCTGTGCCTCTGTGAGGGAAGTCCAGCCTGGACTCTACCCAGGGGCCCAGGGAGTGTGTGCCAACAGCTCTGGTCTGACAGCTGCAGCAGCCCAGAAACACCTGACCTCCCCCACAGCTGGACAGATCAGGGCATGCTGAGCTCCTTGCTGGGGCACCCAAGAGGTCCCAGGAAGTGGGAAGGGCTCTTCAGGGGGCAATCGTGCTGTCCACCCCACACAGCCAGTCCACACCATGCAGGTTCTGGCCCTTCAGCAGCACTGCTAAGTCCCCTGCTGCATCCCAGACAATGTAGGCCGAACCCCAGGCCAGGGCAGCAGGTCCTGGCCCCACCCAGACCCATGCCAATGTTGAGGTCTGTCTACTTGCCCCATACCCACCTGCCAGCATTCTCAGCCCTGTGATCCTCTGGGTCTCACTCATTAGCCGCTCACAGCCAACCTGGAGAGGAGGAGCAGCAGAGGGACTCAGTGAAGGCTCCCTGCCCAGCAAGACCTTCCCTGGTCCCAGGATGAGGGTCAAGTCTGCCAGCCTATGGAGATGCAATGGCAGAATACCCATGGCCATAGAGCAAGTGCAGGGCCTTGAGCTGGGTCTGTACATCCACCCTAGGGCCCTGGCCCCTTCTCTGCACCTAGGAAGATGAGCCGCTCACCCTGACGGGGTTGGCGGGAAGGTACACCATGAAGTTGGTAGGGTATGGATAGTCCATCATGGCCAGCAGTGTGAAGGCATTCCGGGCAAACCCAAAAAGCTGAGTCAAGTCCTCAGGGGTGGAGATCCGTTGGCAGGTGCCGAACTCTTTGTGGATTACATCAGGGGCTGCAGGAAGTGCAGGTACAGGCTGTAGAGGCTGCTGTGCAGGAGGGCAGGCGTGGGAAGGAAGATGGCCTCATGGCCTCCTCACCTCCCTCCAGGAATAAGTCCTTGATTTGCTGAAAAGCATCCCGTACACCCCGGGCACACATGGGACTCTGGTTATAGAAGTCCTGGAGAAGAGACCATGGTCACAGGAGAGCTGCCACACCTGGGCCACCCTGGGGAACCCCAGACCCTCACTCACCGTTGTGACATCGCGAAAGAATTGATAGGATTCACCAAGGCCTGCAACAGCCAGGACGGGTGCACTGGCCGCCAGTGCACCTGCCACCAGGTGAGGGTACTTCATCCTCATGTAGGCACTGAGCATACCCCCGTAACTAGGCGAAGGGCACAGGGTTATGACTGCAGGCTCTGTCCCCAAGCTGCCTGTGTGCTCAGCCCTCGCGCACACACGCTACCACTTCCCCAGCCCCACCTCCAGGCTGAGGTTCCAGGGCTGGTCCTACCCACCCCTTCCTCTTTCCGTCCTCAGAGGCCACAGATGCTGAAAGAAGGACCTGAAACTTCCGAGACCCACAAATTCTGACCCGGGGCCCCATCAGGTGCAGTCTTCACTGGGGAAAAGCACCTGGTCCGTGCCTGGCCCAGATCCAGCCTGGAGACACAGCCAAGTCAGAGGTGGGTGGGAGTCTTCCCCTCTACTGTGGCCAGCACAGTGTGGCACAGCATGGCTGGTAGGGTCCACTCAGAGGACGGACAGGGAGGGCTTCCTGGAGGGGGTGGTTCTGGGCTGACTACTGCCTCTTGAAGGGTGGAGGGTGAGGAAGAGGTAAGGGTGGGGTCAGAGGGCAGAAAGGACGGAGGATCTGAGCCCATGGGCCCCGAGGAGAGGTGTGGGGTGCTCAGGAGGCTACTTGCCAGGTGGACTGGTTAAGACAGGTGACACCTGGCGTGCAGGGTGGGCCTGAGGCAGGAGGAAGGGTGGGGGCTCCTTCAGATCCAGGTGGGGCCAGACCCAGGCTAGGCACACCTGGGTCACAGCAGGGGGTGTGTCCCACCCACCGAAGGACTCACCTCCCTCCGAAGGCGATGACAGGGACGTCCTGGGCCCTGAGGTCCTGTAGCAGGGTCTGGAGCAGCACAGCGAAGTCAGCCAGAGCCTGCTCCACAGTCAGCAGCTGAATGTACCCACGCTGCGTGGACTGGGCACCAAATGGGAGCGAATTTCCATAGTACCGCTGTGGGCAGCAGGGAGGGACAGCTGACCCCACAGCTCGTGCCACCCACAGCCAAGCCACGGGCCCCCAGACCTCAGGGGTACCCACGTGCTCTGCGAAGATGAGCAGGGCCTGCTGCTGGACTGCCAGCTCCACCAGGAATCCGGAGTTGTTGGCAAAGGTCCACACATTCCCCTCGTTCCCCGTGTAGAAGAAGATGGGTCCCTCATCCCTTTTCCAGAATTTGTCTGTGGGGAGCAGGCAGCAGGCGTGAGGCGGGGAGCAGGCAGCAGGCGTGAGGCCAGGAGCAGGCACAGCAGGGCACAGGCTGAGGCGTGGGGCTCACCTGACATCAGGAACCGCTGGTTGAAGGTTTTGTTGCCAAAACTCTCGAAATTGAAGTGGTCCACAAACTGCTCAAAGTATTTCTCCTGAAAACCCGGGTTTGGGAGTCTGAGGGCTAAAGGCAGAAATAGACGCTCAGGGACTGGCAGAGCCGGGAGGGGCTCAGAGACCCCAAGGGGTAGTGGGTCCACACTCACCCCCAGTCTGGACTCCGTGCAGCCCCAGGGACAGCAGCAGGACCAGGGCCCAGGAGGGGGCCCCGTTGCCCGAGGGTTCCCAGTGCTGGGGGATCATATCTGACGCTGCCGCCGGTAGTCACATGAGCAGAGTCACATGCCGGGAGGGCAGCCTCACGTGACTGGTCTGGGCAGGGCGGTCCCAACCGTGGCTGAAGTCCAGAGCAGGCCGAGCTCCTCGTCTCCTGGGTCCTGCTTTACAAGTTCCAGGGGTTCCTGGGCACCCACTGTGTTTCCACGGAGATAGTCGCTAGGGGACTCAGGAAGCAGACTGAGGGGGGAGGGCAGAAGGAGGGGGAGGTGGCCCAAACAATGTATAGCACGTAAATAAATGTAAAAACATTAAAGAAAATTAAACAAATAAATAAAGGGAAAGATACAAAGCATTGGAAGAAAAAAAAAAAGGAAGCAGGCTGAGGTCCCCGAGCTCTGGCCCGAATGGGCACAGTGTGGGGAGGGAGGCATGTGTCCAGCCACTGGGCACCAGAGTGGCAGGAGGGTCCCAGAGGGACTCTGGGGGAAGTCAAGATCCTGGGTCCCACACCTTCCCTGCCGGCTGCTCCCACTCATCCTCCTACCTGCCGCTTGGTCAGCTGACCTGTTCCCTGGTGGAGCTGTGGTTGCCAACATAAACGTAGTCTTAAGTGAGTGGGACCCTGCCACCCAGCTCCTCCAGTATGTCGTCCTGGTTGGGTCTATGAATGGACCCAGGCCAAGAAAGGAGGGATAATTCTGTCTGCCCCTGAGGGACGGAGTGAGGGAGGCAGAGGCCTCAAAAAGGTGTGGTGGGGAGGGGGCTGCAGAGGGACAGTGGCTCTGAAAAGGGGACACTGAGCTTATCCATGTAACAGCAGGGGGCTTGAAGCTGTGGAAGTGTAGGTACACCTGGGGGGTGTCAGGCAGGTGGAAATATGGCTGCTCTGCTTTCCTGACTGGCACCCACTGTGCCCACAGCACTGTAAGAACAGTGGAGACAACCGGGCATCTGCTACCCTGTCCTTCTCAGGGAACCTAAGTGGAGGAGGAAGCCACCTTTCTTCCCGACAGACATCCAATCCAATTTCTGGGGAATGGAGCAGGCCAGTGGAGGCTGATGGCCTGTGCTGCCTCAGCTAAGAGTACGCCATATCTGTGCAGTTGGGCCACAGTTCTGCAGGGGACACGGGGTGGGAGCCAGGCCCAGCACAGGCGAGGGCTGCCCCACTCCAGGCTGCAGAGGAAAAGAGGACAGGAGTAGTAATGTGGTGCTTTTTTTTTTTTTTTTTTTGGTGGCCTCGCTGGGGTTTGACCTCAGGGCCTCACGCTTGCCAAGCAGGCGTTCTACCACTTGAGCCACTCCGCCATCCTTGTTCTTTGTGTTGGGTATTTTCGAGATAGGGTCTTGTGAATTATTTGCCAGGGTTGGCTTCAAACCACAATCCTCCTGATCTCTGCCTCCTGAGTAGCTGGGATTACAGGCGTGTGCCACCAGCACCTGGCTCTTCGAGCTGAATTCCGATACTTAGGAAGATACCATGTTTGTGGTGTTGCTGTCGTGAAATAAACTGCCAATGAAGTCCTCCTAGGACGGACGCATGGCTCAAGCGGTAGAGCGCCTGCTTTCCAGTGATCTTCCTCCTGAAAGATGAATTACGAGTGTGAGCCACGCTGCCAGCCTGTGTGTTAGATTGTTTGGACATTGTGCAAAGTGGTGTTTCTTTGGTGTTGGTTTCTAGATTAGTCTAATTGGGGAGCACACGAGGGTGCATATAGATGAGGCTTGTTGAGTTTTGAGGGAGGAAATGTGAGTCCCTTTGTCGGCCAAGGTTTCCGGTGTGCTGCTCTCATGCGGTGTGTCACCCCGGTGTCCCCCGTGTATATGACAGGTGCTGGTGAGGCTTGGCTGATGTGGCAAGATTGGAGGGTACACATATTGGTATCCATTGTGCTAGACTGTGTTGTACTGAAACTGTGGACCATGCCATGGTCTTTCTGCTGGCCAAATCATGTTGAATTAATAGTTTGAGTCTAGGGTTAACCTGGCTGGTTTTGGGGTTTTTTGTTTGTTTGTTTTTGGTTGAACTGGGACTTCACTTTGCAGGCAGGCGCTCTACCGCTTCAGCCATGCCTCCAGCCTGACCTGGGCCGTTTTATCAAGGTGGCACATGTCTGCCACCACAGCAGGCCTTCCCTGCGTGTGATGCTGTCCTGTGGACTTTGGAAACGTGAACTTCGTATCCTCCTGTCTGTGGTCTTGGAAATGTGCTAGCAGCAGTTGGTGTACGTAATAATTTGGTTCTTTCCCGCACAGGTGTCGACGTTTGTAATGTGTTCTACGTTGAACTTAGTTAATGTGTTGCTTGTTTGGTTCACTTAAAATGTTGGAGAGTGTGGCTCGGTGTTAGTCTCTTCCATTCTTGTGACAGACGGCCTGAGAAAAGCAACTTAGAGGAGGAAAGGTTTACTTTGGCTCCCAGTTTTGGAGGTTTCAGAGGTTCTGCTGTTTCTGAGGCAGAGCAGCATGGTCGGGCGCGTGTGGCACAGCAGAGCTACTCACCTCACGGCAGCCGGGGGGCGAGAGGGAGAGGAGGCGACCCTGGAACGACTGGGGATGAGGTTTGTCCTACAAAGGCGATACTCAGTGACCTCCTCCTCCAACCAGGCCCCAGCTCCTGCTTTATACTACCTGCTGGTAATGCCTTCAAATTATGACCCCATCGATGAATTAATCCACTGGCTATATCAAAGTTCTCATGGTCCAGTCACTTCTCAATAGCCCCACCAGCCTGGAATCAGCTTGGAACCAACCCTAAACACACGAACCTCTGAGGCCAGTTTATATCCAACCCATAAAAGGCGCAATCGCTAGTGACAAATTCAAAAGTAACATAGCATAATTTGGGAACAATACCTCCCGTGGCACTTACAGTACAATTGACTTAAAAAAGTCATATTTGGGCTGGTGGAGTGGCTCAAGCGGTAGAGCACTTGCCTAGGAAGCATGAGGCCCTGAGTTCAAACCCCAGTACCACCATCACCACCAAAGAAAAAAGTCATTTTTTATTTGTCATCATCTGTCCATTGCCACCATGGCTGACAGTGCTGGGCATATGTTTCATCTGGGGTGGTCTCTGTCAGACTTCAGAGCTGTCTTACCTCTTCACCACCTGAGTCTAGGGGTAATGACAGAATTATATGGACTTGATTTTTTGGGGGGAGTATTGGGGTTTGAACTCAAGGCCTACACCTTGAGTCACTCCACAAGCCCTTTTTTTGTTCAATATTTATGAGATAGGGTCTCACGAACTATTTCTCCAAGCTGGCTTTGAACCTCAATCCTCCCGATCGCTGCCTCCTGAGTAGCTAGGATTACAGGCATGAACCACCAGTGCCCGGCTTAAATGGGCTTTTGTTTGTTCCTGAAAGATTGACCATCTAATGTAATCTGAGTCTAGAATCGCCTGTGCAGTACTGTTAAACACCTCTGATTTCACATCTTCATTCTGTGCAGTGTACGTCACCTTCTGATGTCAGGTCGAATCCCTCGTTCTCTTAGTACCGTGGGTTACGTTCAGTGTGTTTGCCTGCAGGAGCGCAACGAGTCCGTCCTGCGTGGAAATGGCTTGGTTTTGACAGGAAATTACAGGTTTTTGTTTTTGTAAAAGAAATCTCTGACTTGTGTTTTCTGGATATCATCGATCTTTGGGTATTCATGTCTTCGTGCAAAAAATGTTTTCCGTGGTGACATTGCGTTTACTTTCAAGCATGCTAAGTAAAACTGCTTGCCTTTTACATATTTGGTGTTCTTACATGTGTTTTTCCGAATCCTCTCGTGTTCCTGCCATGGGTTGGTTAATTGTGTATCCTTGCGTGAAAATTAAGAGCCAAGCTGCAAGCGATGGAGCCAAGTGACCATTTCTCTCAGATACTTGTGCCAGCAGCAGAAAGCTCGCTAGTACTGCGTGCACAAGTTCTGTGGAGGTTATGTTTCCTCCTTCCGGGTGCCACATGGAAGAAGTTTGTGTTCTGAAAGGTAGGGTGTATGTGTGGCGGTTTGGATTCACGTGTTTGTGGTGGTGTTTTTTCTTTTGGGTTTGTGTGTTTGTATTTCCGGCAATACTGTTCCGTTATTGTTCATATTCTCATCGTCGTCACTCTCGTTTCGCTCCCAGCATTATCTTGCTGAAGTCCCAGTTGACACCAGAACTCACAGAGAAAGTGTAGTAAGACTCACGCAAGAGCTGCCTTTGGGTCTACGTATGTTCCGTGACTGGCTCTGGCGTGTATGTGTGGGCGTTCCAATGGGCTGCGGCCTGGCGTCGTTATGTGTAGGCGTCTGAGACTTGTAAGTCGCTAATTCTTGCATCTGTCCAGTGAGAGGGTCATTACGGTGCTATAATGTTCAAAACTCTTTGCTATAGGGACAAAACTCTGGTTCACCATCTGTACGTGTCTTCTGTGCATTCTGACAAATTGTGATGTGTCTGTGCAAATTTTTTCCATCCCTTCGCTGTCCGAATTGCTTGGAAGAGCAGCTTAAAGCCTTGTTTTGTATGTGTGCTATAAGCGTACGAGGGTGTGATGGTGGCAAAGGCGCCTCTCTCTGGGAATCTGCCGTGATATAGTTCGTTTACGTCTTTCTGTGTGGGTCACACCATCAGTAAGGTCGCCATCAGTAAGGTCGCATAAGTGAACATGCTGTGCAAGTCCCGACATAGGAGGGGTACTGTCTCATTCTTAATCGTGGGGCAGGTGACTTAAGTATATTTCTTTCCTTTATAGTACCAGTAGTAAGGCTATGTGGTGTAGGGACCTAAATGCATTTCCTTCCTCTATAACAGCAGGGATATTAATGCTGTTTGTGTAGCTGAATATAGCAAAACCAAGCACAGGGCTCTGTTCAGACATCTCATCACTCTGAACAGATACCTTGAGAGAACAGATATTTCAGGGAGAGAGGATTTATTTTGACTCGTGGTTTCAGAGATTTAAGACTAGTCCTTGGCTCTGTGGATCCTGAGCCGTGGTGAGGCAGAACATCATGGTGGCAGGAGTGTGTGGAGGGGAGGCTCTCTACCTCCT